GCTACCCAAAAAAGTCTGTTTCAGTCTTGCTATCAAAACATGACCTCGCCCGCACAGGGGGGGGGGTTGATGCAACCCCCCTAAGGTTTTTCGCGAATAACTCGCTTAAAAAGCGGCTGATCGCGACGAAACTTTCAGTACCCTCGCATTGATCAATTTAACACCCATCCTGAAAATTTCATGACCCTGACCCAAATGACTTTTGACCTGTGACCTACTTTTCGAGACCATGTTTGGCCGGAACCGCGATTCAGCGTATGTCGGCTCGCATTAGCAGCGCGTTTGCAGTCTTTTCGTGGTTTCAAGCGTTCAAACATGTGATATGATGTTGCCCCCATGCATTAGGGTGGGTGTCAAGGTCACCTGAAGGTCAGGTCAGGTCATTGACCTTTGTTGACCTCGGTTCACTTTTTCGAGTTTGACATGTTTCTAGGTCAGTTTTTTTTTCGAGCTGAATTCGAATTAAGCAACCACATGAACGTTTACAAAGTAGTTTTGGTGCCTTCGTAACATGTTACGAGGCTGTCAGAGGCGGTTGACACCTACTACAAATACCTGGCAGGACCTCTACTGGTTGACCTGACCTGACCTAACCCGACCTGGCCTAAATGAATGAACACATCATCTGTGATCAAAACTAGCATGATATTCGTGATCAGCACCCCGAAAAACCCCATAGAAGCCACACTACGACGTTCTAACAGGTCCCAATTTTCCCGCCTTTTGGGTCATTGATCTGACCTGGAAGGTCAACCGATGACCTAGGACCTTAAAATTGGGTATCATCGGCTTTCTCTCGTCACGGGCAACACGCTCGTTTTTTCCGCGAAGCTCTAGCTTGATCAGGAGCGAAACGGCAAGGGGTTATACCTTATACGTTCGCGGCTGAGTATTAATTTGGTTCAAAACAATGATGTAGATAAGTTAGTTATTTAAATCTAAATATCCTATGACGAGAGCGATGGACATTTTTGGTATGCAGTGTTATCCATTGAAAACAGGTCAAAGCTATTGAGTTTTTAATTTAGTGGTCGCCGCTTACTAATCATGCGGCATACACGCCGCACATAACCGCCAATGCCGCAACGCAGCTTAGATTTCGAAGTAAGCATTTAGTCTCACCCGATTTAAGGACATCTTACATTTTTCGCTAGATTTGGCCGCTCCGTCTCGTAGCTTACGCCGTGAACACAACGCGGTGAACAAGCCTCAGCCTCAACCTGAATAGCGCGCATTTTGGATTTTGATTACATACCTATTTGTATTATACTTTTGATGGAAGACTACGTGCCGAATTCTCGAAGACCACTTGTTTTTATTTGCTATGTTGTGTAATTAGTGTAGTTTGTTGCCATCACTTGCTTCTGGCAAATGGATACGTCCATTGAACTTGATGGTGTTTTGACTCGAGCCTGTACAAAGCATCTGATTTTCTCATTTATAAAATATCTTCTCTACCAAAGAGGGCAGATACCATTCCAGTTTGATTCGTTGAGAAAATATGCTGGGAGAGCAGCTAATGAAGTGGAGCCTGACTTGAATTTACTTCATGAACTGAAAGATGAAGATTGGTGTAGTGATGCAAAAGGGGTCCGGCGTCACCAGCAGCTGTTGGTACGCATTCATGCTGTTTTTATGTTCAGTGTGATTGGACTGATAGATTTGTGGTAATTGTAAGGAGTTGAATCAGGAATGTGGCCACTTTGAATGAGGTGAAATGGGCTGTGGTCAAATTGGTACCTTCTTGCTGGTTGTCTTTTACCTTCAAGAAACAATTTCAGGTCTTCTCATGTCTTCTCATCAGTCAGTTTTGGGTTCCTTATCATACAAAGAAATTTTGAACCCTTAATCCTGTAGTAACCACTCAACTTTAGTCACTTCTCTTTTTTGTCAAATGATTATAAAACTTGCTTTTAGTGTAATCTGAAACTCAAAGAGTTATGTTCCACCAGTGAATTCTCTTAAACATGTTGTCTTTTTTAGCGCCAGAATCTTATGCAAGCAAGGCATGCCAGGAGAAGACTGAAAAGAGATGAGAGACTTCAAAAAAGGATAAAGATGTTTCTAACCAAATATGATGAGTGTGATCAGGTAAGATCTGGGACTTTTCCAACCATTCCCAGTTAAACTATGTGAAATTTGTCTTAATGATTCAGGTGGCCTTGATTGCTTCCGGCTTCCACATTTTCAAATTAATTACATATGAGCCAGGATACTGAGATAATGCAGTTTTGTTGGCTCATCTAGAAAGTTAAGTTATAGGCTATTGAGGCCAGTGCCACATGCATTTGGAGCTAACCAGGCATACCTGGCTGCAGGTGATGTTGTTATCGCCTGTAGGTAGTTATTTGTGATATTGTATCAGCTCACTGCCATCTGTGTGTTGCAGCAACTGTCTGACGCCCTGGACAGCTGCAGCTGGCCGGACGGAGTCCGCGTGGCGCTGCTGCTCGGCAGCTCGGCCGTCAGCCCCAAGGAGGTGTACGTGCTGCATTTCCCGGCCATAGCGGCGCAGTTCGACAGACATCCGCGCTGCCTGCAGCACCAGAGGGGCGCTCGGCAACTCTTTAGGTGGGGAAAATCGTCTAATTACCCGTTATTCACCAATTGCGATATAACACGACGATAAAATCTCCAAAAGAGTCCCAGGCCGCAGTCGCGAGCATTCTCTCGGGCCATAACGAATACGCAACAAATTTGAACTACCTAGCAACTCCGACCTGAAGTTGCATACCTATTACATATTGAATGTTTCAAAAACTTCCCTCGTAGAGGTGCGAATCTCGTGCGGTTTCCGACCTTTCTTGATCCCGGGCTGCTCCCATCTAGATTGTAATCGTCTGCTGGCTCGTACCAAGACTTCCTATAAATAGTTAGGAGACCCGCTAGATTTGTGAGCCACTAGTTACCACACACATAGGGTGCGTTCGGAGAGCGCGGAATATTCCCCGTCATCGTGAAAATTCCCCGTGTTGCGTTCGGAGAGGGACATTCCATACCGCCAATTTCAAGGATCGCCGCTACTGCGCCAGGTTGAGTTCGTGGGATTTTGTTTGGGTTATTTGGGTTATTTGGTTATTTGGAACGCTACATCTATGGCAAGATGTAATAAGAATGAAGCTCTTGAAGAAAGAACAACTAAGAAAAATCACAATTATTTTCAAAAAGTCCCATCTGTACTGTGCCCCCCCCCCGCCCCAAACACACACAACACAACACTTCAAATTATCGTTTTCATTGCTTCACAGGACAATCACACAACTGAGTAAGCATTATCAATTGTTGGATTTGCAATAAAACTGATCAGGGTGGAAACAAACGCAAGAAATATCCATTTATATTCAATAATATACTCACTCGAGCATACCGATGGGCGCCGCCATCTTGACGGGAACGACGCGTGAGATGCTTTTTGGATTCCGCGCTTTCCGCGTCCGTTCCGCGGAACTTTCCCCGGGAATCGCTCTCCGAACGGCACATTCGGCGGAAATTTCATGCCGGCGTGGAATATTCCCCGGGAATCTGCCTCTCCGAACGCACCCATAATCGTTTTCCCCGACAGGACACTGGTGACGTGCTCACCGCTGCTGGAGCTCACCTCTCGCCAGCTGGCGCCCACTAACCTGCACGTGCTGCTGCGCACGGCGCCGGGCGGCGGCGGCGGCACGCCGCTGGTACCGCGGCCCGCGCAGACGTTCCGCCGCGGCACCGTCATCCACATCCGTCTGCAGCACGGCGCGCGCGCGCTGGCCGAGAGTGTGCCGGTGTCGCCGGTGGCCGTGTCGCCGTGCTGCGGCCGCGCGGCGCCGCGCCGCCTCCAGGCCTGCTGCGCCCAGTTCGCCGCCGAGATGGGCCTCTCGCTACTGGACGCGTCGCTCTCGCCCGCGCCGCCGGTGAACGGACTGGGACGCCGCACAGAGGTGGGTGCCGGCCGCTGGCCGCCCGAGTCGCCCGACCTGTCCCGGGGCGACTCGTGCTCGACCTCGTCTGGCGGCTGCTCATCGGCCGGAGGCGAGCTGTCCTACGCGGCTCCGTGCGACTGGGCGGCGGGAGCCGGGTCGGAGGACGGCCCGGAGCCGGAGCCGGAGCCGGAGCCGATCTGGTGTCAGATCCCGGTGACACTGAGGGGGTTCCGTACGCCGGCCGGCGCCGCTGCCGCCCCGACCGACTGGCTGGCTACTACCGAGTAGCTGAAATGCGGCCGGCCGCCGCGGTCCCCGGGATTATGTCGTGACAAGGGAGATTTGTTGATAGGTGCGAGTGGTGTGACGGTGAATGTCAGCTTTGCTAGTATTTGGTTAAGGCGTCTTGTCCCGGTTAGACAGTTCAGCTACCCATAATCGTGCATTGTGCATGCTTTATTCAATCTAAATTGACGATTCTTTTTTACTATCTCGGTGACCGTTCATGAATTAATCATCAATAATATTGTGTTTTTAATAATTGTGCTAGGAAGTATCTTTGTTTTAGCTAATAATAAGCTCTTTTTCGCAATCGATTTTGGCCTTTACCTTTATATGAACAAGAAGAAAGGCGGTAAATCAGAAAAAAGACGTTGAGATCACAAAATATATCAATCATTGTAGCACATTGCATGGGTTTGAAACAGGTAGGAGTAAACGAACTAAATGTTTGAGACTGCGTGCTGAGTTGACAGAGGAAGATTTTTTTAAGTTGACAGCCGGCCAAACTTTTGTGTATTGGTTATAGGATGACTGACAAGTGTGCCATTAGCTCATATTTTAATTCAGTACGAAAACATACATAGTTTGCAATAGTTTGATCCTCCGATCATTAAATTCGGGGAAATCGCGTAGCGCGATCTGACAGCCTGAATATCAACAATGGGGACGCGAGTTCATAGAAGCGAGTGACGATTGGATGGCAGTGAGTTGCGCCTGCAGTTTATGCGCAAAGGTAACAAACGTGCGATAGTTACCACTTATTTGTCACTGTTGACGACTCATCTCCTGGAATCAGCTGTCTTTACATCCGCTTCATTTCCGAATCTTAGTTTATTGACAAAACAAGACCATGGATTCATTGGTGCACTTGGACATCACGCGTCGTAAACGTCAAACGAACATGACAGAATTGGCACACGCATGAACAACAACCACTGGCTACATAGAAAGCGTTCGTGCAGTGGGAAAAATGAAACATGAGAAGTTCAGACACATCTCGCAGGGGGAAGGACTCCATCTTTCCCCACTTTATTCCAACCATGTATTTGCCATACAGGTGAGACATTTGCTAATCACACGAGATCGCCAAGATCTTAATTTCAAATAAGCTTAATCGAAGTATGCGCACCTTTCATTCATACTGAACATTGGACCATATGGCACGGGCACTGAAGCTCAGGACAAACCATTAGCTTTTAGCATGATTGCACGATTTTCTATGGAAGCAGACACCTGCCATTGATTAAGAAATATTGATTTTAATATTTATTTAGATAGATGCAAGGGATGGCATTTCGTATCCGATAGCTGCTACCTTATCCTAGTTCTTTTTTTATTTTATATTGATTGATCAGCCGTCTCCGTTCAATTTCAGCCGTTTTTTTAATGACTACAAATCATGCTGAAAATGAAGCTAAAGGTGTAGTAGGTATGCGAATTCCGAAGCACTTAATTTGGTGTAGTTAAAATGATGTGTAGTACCGATAGGAAGTGGTTTTACTTTCATCCTTCGTTAAAGGGACTATCCCACCTTTAACATGGGGTTTGAGTTGAGATAGCCAAGTTTGCGGCGAGGTTCAGAAACCACTATCTATCTAGGCTGCAACCCCCGCGGCCTCTTGGTGTTGAAGAAATTCGTTCCCTTCATTTGAAAATGGGCCTTGTACAAGGCCATATCTTCAACATGGAGCGACCGTTAGTGTGACGTCACCTCGTTTAGTCATTCTGATTTAAAGGGACCCTCCCACCTTAACATTAGTTTTGAGTTGAGATAGCCAAATTGGTGGCCATGGCCTTCAAATACCGGTTTGGGCACTCACAACATCGAGAAATGCTTTAATTCGACGATATGGAATTTCAAACTTGCAGTTTTCGGATTCTAAGGGGCTAATGCATTGGTATGCCCCCTTAGAATTTGTGACGTCAGCGGAGATCTAACGATTTTTAAATCTTAGACTAATACCATCGTTAACACGTGGTGGTATACGCTGCTTTGCGCGCAACGTCTGCCGCACTTTAAGGCTGCCAAATTATTGCTTCCAAATAAAGTCGCTAGTAACAGGGAGATCCCAAAAAGTAAACAAAAGTAAAAGCCTAATATCTTGAAAACCAGTGAATATTTTTCGGTGAAATTTGGTAGATATTCGTTTTCGCTCTTTCTGAACCAAGGGACATCACTTTCATGCCAATTCATCAACTTTTTTGAAGGTGGGAGGGTCCCTTTAAATGGGTTTGTTCGTTGAAAAATCGCTTAAAACTTGGTCTGAACTTTGTTGTGGTGCCTACAGAGTAAAAAGAATCAGCTTTATGACAGTAATGTGGCCTGGGGAAGGAGGTAATTTTGGGCTGTGACGTCACATATTTGAAAGTTTGTGTTTGGAATATGGGAAGCCTAAGATGTTTAATGAAAAATCAATGCCAGAACCGTGTTCCTGGTCATCCAATCTATAAAGTCGGTCACAATTTAACTGGTTTTAACAACATTTTAGAAGGTGGGATAGTCCCTTTAAAGGCAGTGTGTGGCCAGAAGTAGCTTTGTCCCTCTCATCTCTCGCAAATTATGCAGCAGGTTGATAGCATAAGAAGTTCATGAACTCAGTTATCTACAGAAAAAAATGTTGTCGATCCAAAAACGATAAAAAAGGATGCTTCGCGCAGCAGCTGTGACGTAGCTTACCTAACAAAACGTGCAGTCTAGCCAGAAATCCTATCTTCAAGCTAGCTAACTACTTCAAAGTGCATGTACGTTAAACGTTATCCTAGATGTTCCTGAGAGATGCAGAAAAAATGTTCCAAGTAACCTCTCCCGTACCTACCTCGCGAGTAATTAGTGACTAAAAAGACCCACAGAGTAAAAACAATCACGTATTATGACATTGTTCGTCCGATACAAACTTAGGTATCGGGATGGCATATTTCGTTCGCCTTTACAATGACATAGAACCTAAGCTCTAAAATGCCAAAGCTTACACCCACACCACACATAAAGTTAGTCTACTCCCTTCTTCACTATCGCACTCACGCCTACTCATGACAAGACAGATGCACCGTAGCAAAAAAAAAAAAAAAATTGAAATGCACGTTTTGCAACAAATAACAGAACACGCGACAAAAAATAATTGGAGCTCGGCAAAAAGCGCCGAGTTCCTGGGACTGGTATGCCCCAGCGGGCACAGCAATCATTTTTTGACGTACAACATTGCATACTTGCTCTTGGCCCACTGCATGCATCTTTCAACGGCACTCTCCATTTGTCATGACCGCCTACCTTCGGCGTCAAAAGGTAGTGCGCGCCTCAGGCGTCAGCTACCTCTGGTTCTGGATCACACAAAACGTCGACTCTCTCGCTCTCCTTGCTCGCAACTGGCTGCACATTCACGCACGTTTACACGAAAAAGCCGCACGGTCCTTCGAGCACATGTGCGTGCGTTTCGTTGCAGTTGAACACTTCCCGGAACGGTGCCGCCTGTTCCACTGTAAGCTCCAGCCTGCGGGCATGGGTAGGTTAGGTTAGGCACTGTAAGCTCCAGCCTGTGGGCATGGGAATGTTAGGTTAGGCACTGTAAGCTCCAGCCTGTGGGCATGGGTAGGTTAGGTTAGGCACTGTAAGCTCCAGTCTGTGGGCATGGGTAGGTTAGGTTAGGCACTGTAAGCTCCAGTCTGCGGGCATGGGTAGGTTAGGTTAGGCACTGTAAGCTCCAGCCTGTGGGCATGGGTAGGTTAGGTTAGGCACTGTAAGCTCCAGTTTGCGCCTCTGCGGGCATGGGTAGGTTAGGTTAGGCACTGTAAGCTCCAGTCTGCGGGCATGGGTAGGTTAGGTTAGGCACTGTAAGCTCCAGCCTGTGGGCATGGGTAGGTTAGGTTAGGCACTGTAAGCTCCAGTTTGCGCCTCTGCGGGCATGGGTAGGTTAGGTTAGGCACTGTAAGCTCCAGTCTGCGGGCATGGGTAGGTTAGGTTAGGCACTGTAAGCTCCAGCCTGTGGACATGGGTAGGTTAGGTTAGGCACTCTACGCTCCAGTCTATAGGCATGGGGCAAGAGAAAATGATAAGTGTTACTTACTTGACCTTTCCATCGACCTTGAACTCGGTGAACTCGTCCCATCGGCTCTTCTCCTCCGTCTTATGCAAACACAAACTCTGTGAACGGGTATTAGCATTAGGTACAAACAAGCAGCTAGAACTGTATGTTGTTATTAGGATGGACATAAACGTCTTGCATGTCGTTTATAGCGAGCCTCCCAGGTGCTACACATTTAAAGTCGGTTATTTCTATTTGGCCCGCTTCCACATTGATTGTCGTCCGTGAGTTTGCTGTAGAGCCGGCTATGTAGCCTTTTCCGGCATATCAGCTCAGGACGCACCCAGAACACAACAGGGTTCGAATCGGATCATTGCCAGGACCACGTTGGTAAATTCATTCACAACTCATAACCGAATACCGATGATGCATGTTTTCTGCAGGGTGCAGTAAAAATGTACCTACTCCAAGCGTTGATGCTTCTGCAAGTTTGCCCTAAATAATTTGCAGCAGTTTTGTGTTTATAAAAATAGTTGTGCTAAATATTGACAACTATATGCTGTAACAAAAAATCGCAAATCAGCTCGAGTTCCAACCATAACCTGTTAGCTATCTAAAAAGTCTCACCTGGCCAAAGGCAGAAAAGAAAACTTTTTCCGCCGACATGTCTTCTAAGCCGGGCAGCTGTTCGTCCCCAACCTCCTCCAGGTGCGCCAGCATTGTCTGGAACAACAAAGCACACAATTAATGGACCAGTATGAGTCGGTTTAGTTTAGTTGGTTGGATATTCATTCCTTTCCGTGCATTGGCATTTCCGTAGAATTTGACTCGCATTGCCGTCGCTCAAGTCGACCGCAGATGATGATATACACTCAAATTTCAAAATCCCAATAGAGTGAATTTGAATTAAATAAGAAACGTCACACGATGGGACACTCAAATTTCACTGCCATCACTGCACCCTGCCTCAGTGTCAAAGTTTCACCCTGTCCTGGTACAGAACATTCAGTTTCAAAGCTCAGTATCCTGCTGTATGCACCGCGAGGCCACCGAAAGGTGACACGAAATGTCGCTGAAATGTCACCGTCCGCCTGTTTTTCAGTAGTGTTCTGACAGGAGGGGAGACCTATTCGGTCACACGTTGAGCGGTGGGGGTTTCATACACATCTGTTCGGGTGAATCAGTGCCGAGTCTGGGGGCTTCTGTGGTGGAGTGCAGTCCTTCGGCTCGTGTAGAGCTGCAGCTCACTTATACAGAGCTGCAGCTCCTCCGGTGGAGCTTGATCGCAGCTGCGGCTTACCGAGCAGAGCTCATAAACAGCTTCACCTCATCTGGATGAGCTCACTCAGAGAGCGCACTTTTAAACAACATCTGGTGGAGCCCCTGATCGTATCGTGGTGTCAGACCGTGACCAACTCCGCTGGTGAAGCCGTCCAGTGATGTCCTGCCAGAATTTCGGCTCAGAATCGTCTCGACATGAAATTCAAGCCATGCCTCTGGCCTTTCTCCTCACGACGGTGCTGCTGGTGGCGACGACGACTGCCCTGCCGTGTGATCTCAGCAACCTGAACTCGATCAGCACGTGCATCAGGGGTATCCTGGAGGCGGCCAGGCCGGCGCTCGGGGCCAAGTTCGACCCCCTGGTGCTGAAGAATGCCTCGGGTAACGGCTCGGTGCGGTGGTGGGTGGGCGACATCCGGGTGTACGGGCTGGGCGACTACACGATCGATCACGTGTCGGTGGCTCACACGGGCCCCACCGTACTCCGAGCGAGGTTCGCTGTCTACTGGCCCCAACTGGTGGCCAACGCCTCAGGCGAGTTCGTACTGTGCAAAAACGTCTGGAAGGAGTATCATTGTTTCTCGCTAACCTGCAAGCCGAAAATAGAGGTGCTCGATCCATCGGGAAGTGTTCAGTCGCTGATAAATCTGAACTACAGCAATAACTCCCTGTCGGCATTCCCATCGAATACGGAGATCGATGTACGAATGCCCGATATCAACGTAGAAGTGAATCTGGATGGCGTACTGGGCGTTCTGGATAGCTTCCTTGGATTTCCATCGAGAGAGTATGCGACAAACCTCGTGGAGACTTGGTGGAAGAAAAATAAGAAAACAGTTGAAAACGAAGGGAAAAAGGAACTTCACAAACTTTTTGATAAACATATTTCATCCAGGCTTCCTCGTGCCTTAGGGTGATGTAATTTATTTTAAACACCATCTTTGATTCAATATACGAAGCCGTCTCATGATGTTGGCTTTCTTGTTACTTAGAAGTTTTGCATCACATTTATAGGAACAGGGTGGATGAACGTATTAAGGTATAAGGAATGAACGTATAAGTGGATGAACGTATGAACGTAAATAGCGTATAAGTACGTAGAAGCTATGTAGAAAATAATAGATGTAATAGCAATAACAAACGAGGAAAGCTCTTTGCTTAGGTGCCGTGATTGAAAACGGAATTCATAATACATTTTGCAAGCGAAATTGGTATCCTATCGAATTCGATGGGAAAAAACGCGTAGTGGCATCGCTGAATTTTGACATCTCATGACATTTGATGCCTGATGGATTAAAAAAAAAAAACTCGGCATGGTCAGCTGAACGATTGTCAAGGCGATGGCGAATATGTAATTGTCAAAACTGACGTTGTCGACTTGATCCTAACCTTTAGTGTATCGAACCTTATGACTAGAAGCTGTCAATAAGCTCACCTGCAGAGCTAGCCGTAGAGCCAGGACCTGGTCGGAGGCTGACGTGGTCACCCTCGCCACCGTCTGCGGCTCAAGCTGGGACGTGGAGAGCGCCGCCGAAATGCAGCGTCGGAACGTCTCCCGGTTGTGGGCCATCGTGTCCCCGCCGTCGACTGTCGAGTTGGTCTCCTCGGCGAGCGCTAGGCTGCCGGGCTTGATGGCAGCGAGCAGAGCCTCCGCCAGCCGGGTGCCCAGACCTCCGTACTTGAAAGGCCTGGCGAAAGGAGCATTGTTACGGTTCAGTCAATTATGATCGCAATGAGCACTTAAAGAAGCTGTGACACATTTTAATGCAAACTTTCTCGCCCAACAAGGTAAAAGACATAAACTACAAGAACCATCGACAAATGCAGACAACGGCTGGGCTTAGTATATTATAAGCCACTCATGGAGCCTAGAGGGAAGGAGGACTCGAACAGAGTTTCACTCAGAGAGGGTAGAAGGGCTGCAACTGAGGGTCACAGGCAAATGGTAGGAGGGCTCAAACAGGGTCATTTAGGGGAGAGTGGGGTAAGATGCCCAGGGTGGGAAAGACGCCCCACCCCCTCTAGCGGCGAAACAAAGAATCGAACCTGGAAATTAATGTTCTTAGCGTAAAGCGGAAGCCTGCCTTGTTAACTGTACAAAAATTTGCGAAGCTCAGTTGGGCAACGGCTGGCTGGTGATTGCATGTTTTTTTATTTGCTGCTTTCAAAAAATATTTTGGTGTCAAAACATTGTAAATATCAAAGCCGGTAGATAATTTTTGCGTCCCTTGCTATAGTCGTGATACATTAACATGCGTGTACTGTGTCCCAAACAGTTTGTTTCAGGGTGTAGTTTTATGACTAACAAATTGTACTGATTTAATGTTACTTCGGTACCTTGGGGTAAGATGCCCCCTGTCCTGATGGGGAAAGACGCCCCCTAAATCCGTAGGCTGTCCTTCAAGCAGCCCGTCAAATCATTTATTACATACTTGTGATGAGAGACAAAAGCCGATCTGGGACTATTGAGAGTCCAGTACGGCCCCATGCCGGTCTCTCTGCCCACACAGCGACTTTTTGGCCGGCATCTGACTCTGAGAGCCCTCACGACGGCCTCTGTGGGCCCCATTATTGGCTTCAGGGCCCCTCACGACATTCTTTGAGGGCTCCCACGTTGGCTCCACGGGCCGCGCTGGCATCTGAGGTCCCCACGATGGGCTCGAGGGCCCTCAAGCATCATGAAGACCTATAAGGGCCCCACAGTGGTCTCCGAACGCCACCACGGAGGCTTGTTTGGCCGCTCTGGACTATGATGGCCCTAACGATGGCCTCTGAAGCCCCTTACAACTACTTTTGAGGGCCCTTACGATGACGTTTGGTGTCTACTGCAGGCTCGAAGAGACTACTGATTCGTTCAGGCGATTCACGTGCCCATTTATGTCACTTATAGTGCAGGGGGCATCTTTCCCAACGCCAGGGGGCGTCTTTCCCACCCTGTGGGTGGGGTAAGATGCCCCCTTTCACTTCTTCAGGAAATGCTTAATAGCAAAAAAGTTATCATATTTCAGGCACGAAAGTGTGATATTTTTTGAAGAAAAATGATGTTGGCTTCCGTTGAAACTCGAAGTTTTTGCTTTCCGATCGTCATTTTCGAATAATATATGACATAGTAAAACCCTGGGCATCTTTCCCCACTCTCCCCTACGGAAGGTAAGAGGGCTCAACCATAGCCCCACCCACGGATGGCAGGAGGTTTAGGACAGAGCGTCTCTCACGGTCTGCACGGAGGGTAGGAGGACTCGAAAAGTTTCACTTACATAGGTTAGGAGGGCTCGAACAGAGCTTAAAGGGACCCTCCCACCTTCAAAAAAGTTTATGAATTGGCATGAAAGTGATGTCGCTCGATTCAGAAAGAGCGAAAACGAATATCTACCAAATTTCACCGAAAAATATTCACCGGTTTTCAAGATATTAGACTTTTACTTTTGTTTACTTTTTTGGGATCTCCGCTGTTTCTAGCGACTTTATTTTAGAAGTGCGGCGTTTGCGGCAGATGTTGCGCGCAAATAGCATATACCACCGCGTGCTACAAAACGTTTTAGTCAAACATTTAAAAATCGCTAGATATTTGCGCTGACGTCACACATTCAGAGGGGTATTCCTAAGCATTAGCCCCTCTGAATCAAAATGCTGCAATTTTGAAATTCAATATTTCCGATTTAAGGCATTTCTCGGTGTTGTGAGTGCCGAAACCGGTAATTGTGAGCCAGGGACCCCATTTTGGCTATCTCAACTCAAATCTAATGTTAAGGTGGGAGGGTCCCTTTAACTCACGGAGGGTAGGACGGCTGGAGTAGAGCGTCACTCTTGTAGGGTGGGAGTTTTGGAAGAGTAGCGTCACTCACAGAGGGTAGGAGGGCTCGAACAGTCACTCACGGAAGGAAGGAGGACTAGAATAATTTCACTCACGGAGGGTAGGTGGGCTCGAAGAGCGGCGGCTGCAGCAGGTAATCAGGTACGACGACCGTGTGATGTGCTTGGCTGTAGCTCACCGACGCACCGTTCAGGAGCGGCTCCAACTCCTGCTCCTGACCTAAAACACAAACAAAAAGAACACGTCAACTTCATTGGAATAGACGCCACCTACCTACCTAGAAGGTTGGTTCTGAAACGCCGTAAATACATAACACAAGCCTATAGACTATCAGGTCATTCAAATACTCGCAATCGGTGTTATTTTGCATGTTTTTTTGCGAAGGTCCTGACCTCTGCCGTCGGCGCTAGAAATTCTCAGGTGAACGGCAGAATTCAGTCGAACATTTGACGTGTCCTCGTGGCCCGACGGCCGACAGTAACACGTTACTGCACTGTGAGCCGCTCTCACCGGGTACCAGGTAGGCCTTCTGTTCAATAATCCTCTGGTGGCGCCGGGCCGCCTGCACGCTGTCGAAGAAGTTGTGCCGCATGACATTCAGCTCCGAGTACACCTTGTCCAGCAGCTTGTCCTCCAACAGCACGGCCGGGTAGCCGCAAACCAGGTCAACGCTCGATATCTGAAAGCAAGGGACAGTGTCAGTATCAGTGCTGAGTGTTTTGAAGTCGGCGACAGAAGCAGCAGAAACAGGTGCATACCGCACAGAAAGAGCTATGCGTTATGCACTTGTGCAGGCTGCATCGGCCTGTCCGTCTACGCTGTCTATCCCTGTACCTGCATCTATTCCGTCCCTGATGCAGTGCGCCGGCGCGGTTTGGCACGTCTTTTCTCTAAGCCTCTCTGCATGTCTGTTTTTGGTCCTGTACCTGATGCAGCACGGCGGCGCGATTCGGTACGTCCATTATCTATGTATCTCTGTGTCTGCCTCTGTTTCCTGTATGTACCTGATGGAGCACGGCGGCGCGGTTCCGGTCGCTGACCAGCCGGCTGTAGGTGAGCGCCCCGCCCAGACCCTGCTGCAGCGACTGGAAAAGGTCCGTGGCCGCCCGCTGACTGTGCTCTCTGGCCTCCGACGGCTCGTCGCGCGCCAGCAGGGCTCCGGCCGCCAGTGGCAGCAGCTGGCGCGTGATCCTCGTACAGGTCAGCCAGTGGGGCGGCTGGCGCTTTACGCCTGTTCGAAGAGAAAGGGACGTGAACGTCGGACTTCAGAGTGACATTAGCGTGGGAAACTGCGAAAAGAAGCTGAAAGGGACGCACAAGAAAGTCTGATACCAGTAATGCTTCAAGAGGACCAGTAAACTTAAACCAGTAACCCGTTTGTGCCTGCTAGAGCGTTGAGGGCGCAGGCCATGGAATGCCGGACATGGAATGCGCGGATCATGGAATGTTCAGGTTTGCTGTGTCGGGGCTCGACAGGCCAGACTGACCGGTGAGTTCTGATCGGAGCACGTCCAGCGCGGCGCGATCCACCTCCGGGAGGTAGGGCAGGTAGCCGTCCACCAGTCGCCACATCAGGTACTCGTTCATCGAGCTGAAACACCGCGGGTGTTAGCACAGCTGTCGGCGGCACACCGGCGCTGCGCAGGCAGTTATCAGCAGGTGACACGGGGCCCGGGGGTGCATTGTGCTCCACAGATAGTTATCAGCATGCAGGCCATCTGTCAGTGGCACATAGCCAAATCTGCCGGTGAGGATTTTTGTTGGGTCAATCTTGCCTGATGTATTTTGAATACCAGAACGTCGTTCGGCGTTCATCGAAATGGAAATCTTGAGAGAATGTCCTGAGTCGAGCTTACCGTGCTGTCAGTTTGCCAAGTGTTTGGATCTGTCCTAAGTTTGTCGCCAATGCCTCACACAATTCGCATGCAGAGTGGACGGATCGCTGTACCTGGTGGCTGTGCTTGACACAATCTTGGACACCTCCAGGACGTACTGCTGGTCGGGCAGCACGACCTCTGTCTCCATCGTGACCTTCCCAGCGGGATACACGTCCCGTAGGATATTCAGCCAGTCAATCTGCCGGTAACAGGGGAAGATACGCAACTCCGTGGTAGACAACACACGGCAACGCTCAGCTGTAACATCCACGGATAAAAAACCTTGAGATTTCCTCCCCCAAAAACATCCGTTATGAATATCAGGGATTCTTGACCTAGAAAACTGTAGGACAACGTCGAATTGACATTGACTGATATTTTCCGAATGAGGTCTCAACTCTGAGTGGTGGACGAAAAAAGCTGCCTACTGGAATCCTCGAGTTGGTTGCAGTTGCCTGCCGTTGCTGAGTGCAGGTACCCACCTGAGGCGACTCCTTGCGGAGCCAGTCAACAGTGACCCGCTGCGGGTGCGGGGTGCTGGCCGGGTCACTCCTCTCCAGAGGGTCCAGCGACGCCTCCGCCAGCCGCCTCTCGTAGTGGAACATGTTCTTGGCGAACCGAGCGGCGCTGTCTACAGTGACGCCGATCCGCAGCAGGACATCCTGGATGTAGCGCTGGTATGCCGTCACCACCTGGTGTCGCAGAAAGGGGGATCGGAGGCATTACAGACCAGAAGCACAGAGAGAGGGCATCGCAAACAATACACTTCAAACGACCAGAGGACAAGCCTCTGGGAAGCACGATCCGCCTGATTGACCATGGTCTGGCATTCGTGAGTACCTGACCAGTGGTTATGGAGCCGGAGGGAGGCGAATTGGGCCGCATTTAGCAGACCCTGACGTCTCACGAAATGATCAGCAGGAAACGACATATCTTGAACGATAGATAGGAGTAGGACTATCCGAAGTGATCCATTTTGCGGCTGCCTGTTTGCCCATAGGCGGCGGAACGGGGAGGGCACCGGGGCACCGTGCCGTCCTTTGATTTTGGTATTTTAACATTAGCCCTATGGGCGTTGCATGGTAAGAATCATGGGACCAAAAGTCGGCAGTGCCCCCCCCCCCTTAATTGAAGGTGTTCCGCCGTTACTGTGTTTGCCTCTCTGTCAGTGGGCACCACTTACCGGGTCGTCTGGCTCCCTGAAGTAGTGGCCACGATCCCGCAGGCCGAAGCCACCCGGCGATATCTGCGTCAGGACAGACAATGTCAACGTTACTCACATATCACATTACACACTGCACCGATATACGAACGAGTATGTGCACACCGGAAAGTATATGTGCACACCGAGCCTAGTTGTACGGACTAAGCATCATTCGCACTTTCGTGGTCGATTTGTTGGAGTGATTTGTCCGATGCAAGATCGAAGCTTACAAAGCCCGGCCACGTTATTGTCTGATCGTGGAAGTCAGTGCCGTCCGGTAGTGAGGTCAGTATCCTGGCTATTGTCCAGTCGTGTCGACCATCTTCAGAACCGGACGGTGCTGCTGAGGAGCACCGTTCCCCGATCACGCCGCCCACCTGCAGCACGTTGTTGGTGCCGTTGTCAGGGTCGGCCACCACGCCGATCCTGAAGAAGACGTCGATGTTGTGGTCGGCGTGGAGCTGGCGGATGACGGCGCCCGGGTTCCACAGCTGCCGCTCAAACTTGCCTAGCGGTTCGAAACCACCTGCACGACGACAAGCGTTGGTCACCTTCCGAGTCGGGAGGGAGGGATGATTCAATGTCAGGAATTTATCGATTTTTGCTATCGCTCAATATCCGAATCGAATCGGAACTTGATTTATTAGAGCACAATGAAGTTAAGTTATCCAATCAATTATTTTTTATTTGTGTCCTAAGATGACAAAGCTAAGGGCTAGTGAGGCGAATGACAATGCCTTCGGTAAAATTGATTACATGCTTCTTGAAGTCTCTGAGCGCATTGGTTCGAGTCTCATGAGGAGCCGATGATCCGCCCATTGCTCGGGCCACTGACCGAGACTGCTGACCACTCCGAGCAGTTTGGTGGCCAGGTCGGAGCGGTCCGGGTGCGCCGCCCGGTCCATGCAGCCCATGTAGAGAGCGCTCAGCTTCCACAGGTAGGAGCGCGGCGACTCGACGTACGGCAGAGTGGAGAGGATCCTCTGCAGACGCTCCTCGGCTGTCGGCAACACTAGGGCTGATAATCCCGGGACTTTTTGGCAATCCCGGGATCCCGGGATTTTAGAAATGCAATCCCGGGATATCCCGGGATCCCGGGATTGAGCAGTTTTTATTTTAACCTGTCTACAAGGCAGAATTTTCTTGCAATATCGTATGTATATGGCGCATCCTTACCATCATAAACACAATACCAGGCATACACCTTCACCCCGAACAAATATAAGAGCATGAATGACATTGATCATTGTATTTCTTGTTTATATTTCGAGTCAGGATACAGTAGACGTGCCTACGGATTGTGGTCGTCTGACCAGCAGCATGTCCTGGTCACATTCACTTGTTACGGTAGTAGCACTTGAGGAAGCAAAGTGCATCAACGACTTCGTCGCCGAGACTCGACCGCACTTTTGTGACGATATTCCCGACAGTGGAAAACACTCGTTCCGATTCAACACTCGTAGGAACTATGCCCTTCAGCCAGTTGTAGGACAGCGCTACCATGCCTGTCCTTCGTGAGATAGGTAAATTTTCCAATTCTTTCCTTATGGCCTTCGTCATCATCAGAGAAGATTGCGAAAAGTTAATCCCAGACGGGCATGAACTGGTGCCTTGCTCTGGAGCTCTAACCTCATCTAGAGCTTGTTGAAGCATCGACTGAAGAGACGGCGCTGATTCAGGATCATCAGCGTCCATCACTTCTGTATCTACACCTACTTCGGTATCATGCATCTGTTCTCCCAATCTTTCCATCATGTGGACAACTAAGTCCTGTGCTTCCTTGCGAGAGGCACTAGGAAAAATATCTTGCCAGTCTCTGTCTGCCGACATTTTGTTATGGAGCGATTGTAGGACTTTAGCCGCACGTGACCGTCTCTGTCGGATGCGCTGTTTCAACGCATCAGACAGTTTACATGCAATCGCGCAGTCCTCCTTGTCAAGCGCGCTTAACATAAACTTTAGAGCAGCTTCAGCCTCCAATAGTCCACTTTCTCTCCTGCATAGCGCTTCTGCTCCGAGTTTCATGATTCTCAGGCAGCGAATGAGCGCAGGTATGGCGGCGTATTCATAATCATCGATCATTTTCATACGTTTGTCTCCTATGTCAATGAGTGCTTTGTGGACAGCTGCTTTGATGTTATCAAATCGTTCTAGCATGTCATACAAACTATTCCATCGGGTTTTACAGTCTAGCACTAGCATCAGTTCCTGCCCACGCTCCTCTCTGACGTATTTCTGAAGGACTTCATTTCGTACGGGCGATTTTCTAAACCAGCGGACAACGTTTCTAATGCTTTTAACGACTGGAGAGAGCGAACTATGTAGTTCGTGGTGACCAGTAGCACCAGTAGTGTTTTCTTCCACGTTGTCGTCCTCATCCTCGTCATCACCGTCGGATTCATCTGACGAGTTCACCTGCAAGGCGACAATATCCTTACCTTATTAATCTATATAAGATGTACATATATTAAGGGGTCATCCTGCTGTGTTGGCTCCTCGGATTATTTGTAGATGAAGATTTACGACTCTTTATGCTTTAAGGAGAGTAATTGCGCGATGCGGATGAAACTGAGCTCGATGCTCTTAAGCCTTGTTCTCTGGGTGAAATGTTGTTTGTTCTTTGACTCTTATGAAGTGAAATCGCACAGTAAATGATACGAACTTTGGTGCACAATTTTCTACCATTTCGTCACTGTTATTCTATTTTCACGCTAGGTGCCTATGATCAGATGTATGCATAATTGTATACTAAGCTCACCTGGTTAGGTCCACCACCACCACGGTCGTCATCTGCTTGTTCAGAGGTCTGCCCGGCGTCACCCGAGTACAGAGCGTCGACAACGGCGAGGTGAACACCGTGTGCGAAGCAGAGTTGGTGCTCACATGGCAGTGACTTCCCGAATTTCACCATCACCGAAGCTCCGTCGGTTGTGACGCAGGTGACGTGCTTACTGAGTTCAAGGCCAAATTCTGCCAGCTTGCCCTGCAGAAGATCCAGACATTTCTCTGCTGGCATCGATCCGTGACAACGCGCGACACCGAGACCCCACATGTTACCTTCGCAGTGGACAGTCACGCTCATATAGCGACGGTTTTTCAGGGACGTATACTCGTCGATCGTAAGTGAGAACCGTTTGCCATTTGACAATTCTGCGGCCAGCTTCGCCTTCACGTCACACTTCAGGCGAGCACAGTGTTTGAGGACACGCCGGCGGATCGTGTTGTGATGGGTTGGAAGGTTTTTATATCCTTTAGCAGCCAAAAGTCCGCGTAGGTCCGGTGAGGTACAGAAAACTGTAAAAGGTATCCCATCTCTCGCGCACATTCTAGCTAGGATAGCATCCAGGTCGTCGTCCGTTTTGGAAACATAGTAGCAATCTAAGGTCTTCATTCCTTTTAGATGCGGTGCCGTGGTTTTAGCGCTCTCACCTTGACCTTCGCCGGACACGTTTTGCGGCGTCTCTCCGGATCGGGATGGTCCAGCAACACTCATACCACCATGCTTGCTCCTGAGGTGGACGTGAAGTCCTTTGGTGGAACCTCCAGATATTTTCAGTACCTTTTTACAAAGACGACACTTTGCTGTGTGGCCATCTTGACTTCTTAGATAATGTTCCCACACCGCACTGCCTTTAAATTCAGCAAAATCCGACATTTTGGCAAAGTTAGCTATAGCTTATCACAAAGGCACGTAATTAATAATTATTCACTAACGGTAACCATGCCCAGGGCGCCCGGCCAGCCTCATGGATCGTCCAGCCACGGGGCACTGACAGTAACTGAGCCACCAGACGTGCTCCCACAGTCACACAGAGAAGACGGCCGACCTCCTCCCACTCGATGGACTCGAATTCGATAGTCGGCATAGTATGTCATCGTGCAAAATGATCTGTTAAACCGAGTACGCGAGGGACGTCGCGGGGAGCGAGAGATGAGCCGAGAGAGAGCTCGTCTCTCGCCACATTGTGAAGGCTGAGACGGTGTGAAAAATGTCAATTAGGTATATATGTAACCAATACTTGTGCATAACGACTTTGCACGGCGTAAGTTAGATCTTTGGACATAAAACTGCACTGTAATGCGTTGTTACTCACTTACCTTTTTTACATACCTACTATCAGCTACACTTTATGAACGATGTTTCTGTACGGAAAATATCGGGATCCCGAAATCCCGATGCTTCTAATCCCGGGATTCGGGATTAATACAATCCCGGGATCCCGGGATCCCGATCCCGGGATTATCAGCCCTAGGCAACACGACACATAGTCGCACAACGTCACATGGCCGCGTCAGACAGAGTCACACAATGACAGTTGACACGTCACGCAGCACAGTCAAATGATCACTCACATCACACTATGGCATGGCTCCATTGTTCGTCTCTTTATTAAGTATTCAGTTGGAAAAGTATTGGACACTGAGAGGCGTTTTCTTCCCTCAACGAATAGAAGGTTGGCGGATTCTTAGCCAGCGGCGAGTAAAAATGCAAGCCGAATAGTTATGGGATATGGGATGAGTTGGTTATAGACATCTACCTATACCTAGATTGCTGATGTTTAGACTTTTTGAACATTTATCTAACCATTTTTACACTTATCCGACTGTTTTCGACTGGGCACTATAAGCCCCAGCGAGATCTAGATCGAATCATTAGCGGAGCTACGGCAGCGATTTGTGCTAATACTACCAATTACTGTGGGCTCAACCGCTCTGGCTGTGAAGCAACCCTCCAAGCTCCGAATGTTGAACCCAAAACGAAGCCAGACCGTTCCGAGTTTTACCCGTCGCGGCAGCTGCTCCCTTGCACTGGGTGGAGCCTGAAACTTGTTCCGCGCCATGGTGATTGGTGGTGTTCCGATTGTGACGTAACACGACCAGGCGGGAGCGGAATATGCCCCTTTTTGACTCGGCTCCTGGGTCACGTAGTCGTAGTGACAATCGGTAAACGGCGTTTGAGAGAACGCCCGTAATCGCGAAGAAAGTTCTACTGAAAGTTCAGAGGTCAACAGACTGCGGGGATCATGGACGCTGAATTGTTTCCATTCTGACGTTCTTGGACAAAATTTATTAGTAGGTACTAGGAATAGCTCGTAAACTTATCATAGGCCTAGAACATCCCGAAAAAGGCGTTCGCAGCGACAGTGGCGGATCCAGGGGGGGGGGGGGGGCAAAATGGGCATTTGCCCCTCCCAAACGGCATAATATTAACATTACGCCTATGGACGAGGCATGGAAAGAATCGATACATTGTTATGGTTTGCCCCCCCCCCCCAAAAAAAAACTCTGAGCTAGATCCGCCTCTGCGCAGCGACGCTGTAGGTATAGCTGTACCAGGTACCTATTAGTTGATGACTGACGAGCCACGCGCCGATTTGTAGAAAATGGTAAAACCAGGAAAATGTGACCTGTCTTCTTCGTTGTTCCAATTGTTCCAGTAGCTGGCTCGTCCATCGTAACAAGCTGACGTAACATTTGACAAAGCTTGCCTTCCCGGAAGTCAGATGTGTGACGGTATCAGAAATGAATGATGTAGCCTGGTCACACGTCCATGGGCGCCGCCACCGGGGGGGGACGGGGGGGACGCGTCCCCCCCACTCTCAGAATGGAAGGGGGACGTCCCCCCCAAACTCATTACGGAGCGAGCGAAGCGAGCGTAGTCTTTCGTAGGTTAACGGAAATTTCTGAGTATGCCGTGGTCACGCTTTTGCTAGGCTTATATCTCAGCAACTACTTGACCGATTTACATGCAGTAATTTTTGTAGGGTAGCACTACATAGATTCATTTCTTCTAACGAGCATCGGACTATTCCCGATGCATGTGAGTGACCCCATATGCACGTGCCACGTGAAAAACGAAGAGGTGTCAGTTTTGTAACAATTTCAATATCTCGGCAACTACTGGGCCGATTGCGCTGAAAGTTGGCATGTAGGTAGGTATACCCACTAGGCATTAGGCAATGCATATCCATGTGCCACAGTTGGGGTGCTGCTGCACGTGCGCACATGCAGGGGTCGATTCCAGATCTCGAGAACGGCTGAACCGATTGTGCTGAAATCTGATACATGGTTAGGGACCGGTTAGTAGGGTGCCGTGCAAAAGTCAGTTGGGACCCATTTTGCACGTGCGCACGTGCAGGGTGCCGCTTCCAGATCTCGAGAACGGCTAGGCCGATTGCGCTCAAATTTGGCACATCGTTAGGGACCGGTTAGAAGGGTGCAGTGCACAAGTTAGTTGGAGGTATCCCCTCGCAATTTCGCACGTGCAAGGCCCACCCCACCTTCTCGCTCGCTCCGTTGGTCGCCCCAAAAGGCGTTTTACTGGTTGTTATAGTTCTCTATATACCGTGGTTGTTATCCTACTCGAAATTTGATTAGGCCCTTCGGTCCAATGAGACCATTTCAGAGCCGCAAGTATGAAAGAATTAGTGGGAGACATTGGTCGGGGCAGCCACCCCAGTGAGCCACTTGGGATGAACCCGACCAATTGAACAGGCAGCCCAGCCCACTGGCACTCACTGCACCCGGCAAAGGACCATAGCTCCAGTGGAGCCATTCCCGCATGGGATAGAGTTGCCCGTCCAGCCCGGAGCAGGGGGTTGCGGCGTGGAGGAGAAGGGTTTGACTGTCCTGGGATGGAAGAGATGGAACGGCCGGTGCCGAATCTGAGAGGGTCCAGGAGGTTTAGATACTCAGTATATGGGGTGTGGGCCTACATGCATTGGTCTGACCCCTGCCAACTCGGCCAACAAAATATCCAGCTCTTATCCGACCTGTCATCGCGGAACTGCTGATTTTTGATATCGTGATCAACGTGTGTCGTATAACACGACTGGCCGAACACGGGCCTAATATATTTCGTCTAACCAGCCAAGAACATGACTTTACACCAATCCGACCTCGATTTTCGAAGACTTCAACTCCGACTCTGGCCAAAACTGGCCAAAACAGTCAACTCCGACTGATTCCGGCTCCGACCCCACACTTCTGCAGTCACGCTACACTAAATTTCCAGCTTCTAAGAAATAAGCTATACGGTTGCAGTACCACAAAACTTTGAGGCGACTTGACTACTTGACTTGGTTTTCCTGACCTAAGGTTTTCTGGTATCAAGCTTGTTACACGGGCTGCAAAATTCGTATTTTGGAGCAGTTTTGCCTAATGTTTTTTGCCAATTTTCGCGGCGCTTCGCGCCGATTCGTGCACAAACCAAATAGAGAGATTTGTGACTATACAACCAGCTCTTAAATCCGACCTGTCATCGCGGAACTGCTGATTTTTGATATCGTGATCAACGTGTGTCACACGTCCATGGGCGCCGCCACCGGGGGGGGGACGGCAAAAAACATTAGGCAAAACTGCTCCAAAATACGAATTTTGCAGCCCGTGTAACAAGCTTGATACCAGAAAACCTTAGGTCAGGAAAACCAAGTCAAGTAGTCAAGTCGCCTCAAAGTTTTGTGGTACTGCAACCGTATAGCTTATTTCTTAGAAGCTGGAAATTTAGTGTAGCGTGACTGCAGAAGCTCCACCACGCGGGTATGCAATATGCATTACCTATGCAATATGCATTATCGATCATATTAGTGGCATACATCAGCAATTATACCGTGATAGAACACGAGGATTTGCCGTGTCAAACTGAATCGGACATCAGATGTGTATATAGGTAGGTACTCGGTGGGAATGCGGTCTATAGCCATTACTTTAACCCTCGCATGTGTAGGGGGGGGGGGTCGGATGGACCCCCCCATGGTTTTTCGCGAATAACTCGCGTAAAAAGCGGCCGATCGCGACGAAACTTTCAGTACCCTCGCATTGATCAATTTTACACCTACCCTGAAAATTTCATGACCCTGACCCCAATGACCTTTGACCTGTGACCTCTTTTCCGAGACCATGTTTGGCCGGAATCGCGATTCCGCGTATGTCGGCTCGCATTAGCCGCGCGTTTGCAAGCTTTTCGTGGTTTCAAACGTTCAAACATGTGATTTGATGTTGCTCCCATGCATTAGGGTGGGTGTCAAGGTCACCTGAAGGTCAGGTCAGGTCATTGACCTTTGGTGACCTCGGTTCACTTTTTCGAGTTTTACATGTTTCTAGGCTAGTTTTTGGAGCTGAATTCGAATTTAGCAACCATTTGAACATTTACGAAGTAGTTTTGGTGACTTCGTAACATGTTACGAAGCTGTCAGAGGCGGTTGACACGTAATAATAATACCCGTCACGACGCCTACTGGTTGACCTGACCTGACCTGACCCGACCTGGTCTAAATGCTTAAAGACATCATCTGTGATCAAAACTAACACGATATTCGTGATCAGCACCCCGAAAAACCCCTTAGCAGCCACACTTTACGACTTTCTAACAGGTCCCGATTTTCCCGACCTTGGGTCATTGACCTGACCTGGAAGGTCAACCAATGACCTAGGACCTTAAAATTGGGTATCATCGGCTTCCTCTCGTCACGGGCAACACGCTCGTTTTTTCCGCGAAGCTCTAGCTCGATCAGGGGCCAAACGGCAAGGGGGGGGTCCAACCGACCCCCCCCCCCTACACATTAGAAGCTGGAAAACGCCGCACACATGCGAGGGTTAAACGTTGAATGCATCCGACCGAAAAAGCCACGGTAAGAATGTCTACTTTTGGGTTTTCAGTCGGTCAGTCCGTCCCCCCCAGTCAAAAATTCGTGGCGGCGCCCCTGCACACGTCACGTGACCATTTCCTTGTGAGTCTATAGTCACTGCTTCAAGCGGTTCACGTGAGCGTGACTGTTGCTCACCTTTGCGTTTATCAAACTGGATTCCTTCCACGCTCACACATAAATTAGGTTTTTGGGATGCTTAGTGCAAACTTACGCAAACTTAGCCTCGTCCTTACTGGCGTTTTCGCAGCCGCTAACGCATAGCGGGGAGGGGGGATCGGACGTCCAATTTCGCTACATATCTACCTATCTCATCCGTCTCGCCGTTCCCGTAATCCTCAGCAACTAGCGATTAGATAAGCTAATCCATGGCTCGTTACAATCTTCCTTTTCTACCAACAGACCTACAGCACAGTTTCCTTGAATGTGAAACGTCCAAGATACCGATGAAGGTACCCACTTTTCCGGTACTTCCTGTTGGTCAGGCTAAACGCAAGCAAGGTAACTTTTGTTTGATATTTAGGTACATTCGGTGTAGGAATAAAACATGTCAGGGTTTCAATTCGAGCTCTCTATGACAGAGCTCTAGGAGGGCTATACACGGCTATACTGACCGGAGCGGCGCATTTTCTGAGTGACGCCCCACTCGCTGTCGATGGCCGGTATGGGGTTGCGCTCCACCCAGGCCGAGCAGCTGTGTTCCCAGAACGTGTTGCACGCCATGGCGTCATCGCCGACCGTGCCGGCTTGCAGCTGAAGCGTACAAAACGACACAAACATCAAACATCGACGATTGGTGGCCTGAACTCTGATCACTCGCTCACGAACGGAACGGGCAGGGGTGAATGGGACTCATTGGCGAAATGAACAGGCAATGACATGGTATTGGCTCATAAAATAAAGGGGCAATGCCAATTGGAAGTCACTAATGAAATGAACGTGCTAAGACGAATGGGACTCATAAATCACGAACTAAGCGGGCAAGGGCAAATGGGACTTGTCACTCACGAAATTACCGTGCTAAGGCAAATAACTCATTCACGAAATTAATGGGAAACGGCTGAAAGGACTACTCACGAAATTAAGAAGCAAAAGTAGAAGGTTATGTACATCCGTAGGGTAAGGTGCCTAATTAGCGACCCCCTTAATTTGAACTGTCATTGCTCACGCTCTGTGGGTGCCACTGTGTGACTGGCTTGATTTTCGGAGAGATCGTTCATTTTTCTATTAAAATATAGTCATTTTCTGTCCCAATATTTACTAACTTATTTGTAATGAGCATTTTGGCAAACCATTGCAAAAAACGCTAATAGGGAACTCTTCCCGATTAGCGACCGGGGAGGGTCGCTAATAAGTCTATGGGTTTCCCCATATTAAAAATGGCAAAAAATGCGACGCCTGAAAAGATGAAATATGATCTCAAAAAGGTAACCTATACGCAAAGCACTCAATAACTCGAACAGGAACGTTTATCCAACACATTTACGTAAGTAAAAACTGATCACGTGATCCACCGAAGGCGAAAAGAAGGCGGAAACTCAAATTTTGCAGGCTATCTTGTATGATATTCGAGGTCCGCGCTGAATTCGGCACCCCTGCAGTCGGTGACGACATTTGGCATCCCCTGCCACACATTGCAAGCTTCAGCAACACCTCGTTTTCATTTCTCTCTTTTCCCCTTTCTTTCCCTTCTTGAGCTATTTGCGACCATGCCAGGCGCAAATAGGAAATATGAGTTGCGACATATTTTTAGCCGCCATGCTGTGCACAGTTGAGCGATTCACTATGGGAAAACGGTAATCAATCAAAAAAGGAATGTCGATTCAGAACAAAAAAGGTGCATCATCCTAATGTGCATCGCTTTTCATCAGAGAGGGCCCAAACACACACGTTTTGGATAAGAAACTCGTCATTTTTACTTAAACTCACCTGAAACGTCCCACCAGAAACATCGACGACCGGAAAATAATTTAATTTGATAACCAAAGTATGGCTGACCTTTTGACGATGTTTTTATCCCGTTTTCTCCTGCCAGTTTTTTCTGTAGGGAGGTGGGTCGCAAATCGGAAAGGGTCGCTAATTAGGCACCTTACCCTACGCGTACGGTATGTAGCTTATAGGTAGGTAGCTAATACTAGGTATACCTAACAACATTTTAAACTAACAGCATCCCACTAAGCACCACGGCGTCGTCCTTTATCGCCAGAAAAACCCGTCCGTACCCTACTCTTACCATCGTCCCGGTGGACGGTTACCCCATTTATTCACCGCGGGAAGGCAAACTCGAAACTTGGGATCGGGGTGACCGCTTTAGTGGCATTGGTAATTAATGGGTGGTCTACCTCACAAGTGACACTTTCCCAAGAACGGGCCAGATGGGCTCAGATTCGACCCAATCCCACATGCCACATATTATCCCATGGCTCTGAAATTCTCCCGTGGCACTAAAATTGTCTTATTGCTTTGCTGATTAGATTAGACCAAAGAGGACTATCTTGGGACTTGCCTTACCAACAAAAAATACGAAGCGCGATACGACGAAGTTGCGGTGATCACAACTGTTCACATTATAATAAGCCAAATAAGGGAGATAAGTTCATGTGTTTTGTCAGCGTTGGTTCATGATATTTCCGAGATTGCTCCAGTAAAATTTATGTCGTACTGCGTGCTAGGGAATAAGAGGTCAAACGAAGCGGTCTTTTTGAACTTTGATATTTAATTGGACATTTGTCGCTGACCAAAAGCAGAACGATTACGGGCCTATACCTATCGTACCTAGGTACCGTGCTCGCACTAGGTGTACCCTATCCGGGCCGACTTGTGAGAAATTAGTTACGTTTCCGAAATGTGTATCTACTGAAATCTCTTATTGGCTGGGCAACGGTGAGTCGTATTTACTGTATTGTATGACACTAGGCGTGCTAAAGCAAAATACCTTTTACTTTTAACCCGCGCCGGGCCGGGGGATGTTTGAACACCCCCCCGCCGCTGCGGTTTTTCGCAGATACCTATCTCGAAAAAGCGGCGCGGAGTTTTTGGCACACCTGTTCGTGCATCTTTTCCGCACATGTGAAATTTTCAGACCCAGGTCGCCTTAGGTCAGGTCACCAGGTCACGCCAAGTGACCCCACCTCAGAAAAAATAAGAATGCTCGTCATAGCTACACCGATTGATCGATTCCCTTGAAACTTTCAGCGATTGATAAGAGCAACATTATCTATAAAATGTTTATCTCGAAATTTTGATATCCGTGACCTAAGGTCAGGTCAATTTTGCGGCTTCTCATTACCTATAAGTCAATGGGAGAAAATTGAAAAGCGTCTGTTTTGCACGAACGCTATTCTAGACACTCTCAAACATCGAGATGTAGGTAAAATTGACACACTGAACCGGAAAATGGCAATTGTGACCCGTCGTTATGTCCCCGAGGTCATCTCAGGTCACGAACAGAAAACAGTTTTTCGCTAATAACTTCTCATAGAGGCGTGCTAGAGCGCTGAAAACGCCTTAGATGTGTTCGGCTCGACGTTACGGATCGACTGATATGCAACATGACCTTTTCCGGTCAGGTCATGACCTTGACCTGAGGTTTCTTTCAAATTTTCAAGTTAACCTTTCAAGGTCAAGTTATAGTTAATTTGACGCGTCTCGACGAGAGGAACACGATGCTGGCAAAAGTAATGTCATGACTCTTTTAAGTCAAAAGTTATTGCCGAAAAAACACTTTTCGTAAAAACGGCTACCTATTTTTGGAGTTTTTGCCCTCTGGAGGCTAAACCGTTGACCTGAGGTCAAATCTGAGAACATTACTCAGAACGGTCTGTAAAAGGGCTATCGAATGCGCTTTTCCGCGGCGCTGTTGCTCTATCGGTTCCCGAGATAGCCGTTGGCAGTTTCTAAAATGTTGAAATAGTCAACATTTTACCTTTGGTGACCTCTGGTGACCTGACCTTTGACATGACCCAAAAAATGACCCGAAGTGTTTTCGTCCTTATTTTGGGCGTTCTTTCGATTGCCGCTTACCGCGTGTCGCTACGCGGCCCAGGAGACGAGTTAGAAGGGGGGAGGTTCAGACACCCCCCCCCGGCCCGGCGCGGAATCTCAGAGCACGGGCCCGGCGCGGGTTAAGACATCCGAAAGTGTAAATTTCAAACAAAATAATCGAACATCGTCATTCTTACATACATAAGATCCTTCATTTGGCTTAGGTCGTTTTGGGCTGACGAGACCATTTCAGAGCCGAACATCTGACCGGGAATGCTAAGACCTAGCCAAGGCCCCTGCCGTCTCTGGTGGCGGTCGGCGGCGCACGGCGGGTGGCACGTGTGTAGTGCACGTTCCAGGCGGCGCGGGCGCGGGCGCCGGCACCTGAGGGGCCCGGCTGGTGAGAGCGGCACCGGTCGCCCGGTGACGGCACGGCCCGTGACGTCACCCGCCACCGGTCCACACGGCGATAGCCGGGCACGCCGCGATAGCCGGCCGCGTCACTCACCTGCGCGGCGGCGCTCAGGCAGTGAGCCGATTCACAGCGGCTGACGGCCTCCTCCACCGGAGCCGACGGCCAGCTCGCCGCCAGCGCAATCACTGCTGCCAGCAGCACCATCACCAGCACCAGCAGCACCACCAGCACCACCGCCCAGCGGCACGGCAGGCCCAGCGCGTCCGTGGCGCGCGACAGCCGGCCCGGTGACCGTTTGCGGGGCTCTGCGCCGTCCAGCATGGCGTCCCGCTCCGGGGACTCGTCTAACCGGCCACCATTCTCGTCCACTTTGCCACTCATCGTGCACTGGGTCACTGAGCTCGAGGCGGTCGCGACGCCCGGTCGCCCCACCGCCCGCTGCAGTCGACCCCGAATCACGGAACACTCCCACCTTTACGTTCACCGGCCAGACTGGCGACCGGCGAGGATTGGCCGCCCTACACTAGCGCCACAGGTCGGCCACAGCGGAACTAAGAAAGCCGACCGGGCGTCAGCGCCGGCAGCGGCGATAAAGGAAACGCTGGGGAGACTGGCCGGCGAGCCGTTATAATGCAACAGCGCGCGGGGAGCGGTGTGGATTGTGGAATGCACGACTCCACCCAGTTTCTGACCGGAGTAGCACTGTTTGCTTGCGCCCGGCCGCAAATTGGAGAAGCCGGGTGGTGCTAAGTGACTAGGTGTTGATCGGTTTGAGATTGTCGTTCGATTCCTGAGGCCCGAACCGTTTATCGGAGGACCTTAGTGATGCTCCGACCGGAACAGCAGTATCAAAAAAGGAAAGCAGACATTTTGTAAGTTAGCACTAATACGTTCTTCCATCCGGATTATATGTGGTGAGGGTGAGACACATCTCGATGAATGATGAACGGCATTACTTTAAGCGCACTCAATTAGTGGATAAAGAATAAATTTCTAAAATGAAATGAGGATAAATTTCTAAAATGAAATGAGGATAAATTTCTAAAATGAAAATACAGGAGGTGCACAATAATTAAATCATCCAGAGAAGTACGATGTTAAATCCTCACTGAAAGAACGGATTTAAAGTCATTGTATTTATTACAAGACGATATCCATCATACAAAATCGACCTGCAAAGCATTGTTGCAGTCTATCGCCTGCATTGCATTTTACAAACCAGCACATACCTACCTAGGTATATTACGCAGGGGCACTGGGTATTTTTCATATCAGACACATGAAACGTAGGTATGGCACACAACTCATGGGACGAGATAGGCCCATTAAAAGGTACAAAACGCATGATATGACGATCTTTAAAAAGTCAGTCATGGGAATGAATGACACATGCGACACAATTAATGGAAACATGAGCACAGACACCCCGAATGAGCAGACACTGGATGCACTACTTACAGACGCAATGAGGAAACAGAGTCCGTGTTCGGCATGACCCAGGCCATGGTGATCCCGGGGATCTCACGGCTCAGGCAGAAGGTTGGGTCCCGCGGGCGCTGCTGCTGGAGGACGGCATCCCCCTAGAATCTAGATAGACAAACTCAGGAGCGCGGGAACTTCTTCCAGACTGGGGGGGGGGGGGGCTGAACCATAATAGAGATCAACCTAGGGTACCCCCAAATCTAGTTTTCTCACCGGTTTTAGGCCACTTATTTTTCAGACTTTGGCCTTTTCAACAACAAAAAACGAAAAAAATGCAAAAAAGTGAGGTATTCCGTCTGAGCTGAGTGAAGAAACTACCGTTTTGGCAGCCTGGAGTAAAGGTTTTAATCTGCCAAATGAGTTGCCGAGCCAGTGAAAGGCGCGGATTTTTCACTTACATTGTTTCTTCCTTTGTGACCCACAACCCCTAATTTGGGGAGGACAAGCTGCCCAACGGTTCCTGGCCTCATGAAAAGTTGTGGGGCACCGCCCCCACGGCCGCAGAGTTGTGGGGGCAAGCTTCCCCCACTGCCCCCTCCCCCGGTTCCCGCGCCTATGTATGAATCTATGAAATTATGTTGGTAGATTTCCGATTTCGATTCCTCCAGCTGGGGGGGGGGGGGCTCAAATATATTGGGGGGCTCAGCCCCCGCTAGCCCCCCCCCCGGTTCCCGCGCCACTGCACAAACAGAAGTATCTTGCCGTCGACACACCTCATTGTACAGGAAGTAAAGAGCCGCTACCGTCAAAGCTGCGCTGGCCGTATGCTGCACAATATTAGCATTGGTATAAATTGCGTATGGGTACGCGGGTTATATCTTTGTCTATGGAATGGTCCCACGTGCTGCTAACATTGCCGTCCTGTGGTGAATTGGTGATGGTCCTTCCAGCCTCAGCTGCCGGGTGATCGCGGCTGTCCGGGCTCCGTGAGCGGCCTCCGGGGCTCCTCCCGACCTGCACCGGGCGGGGAGCCGCGCCCTGTTCGACCAGTCACCAGACGCACTGTGCTCTTCAGCGCCTGCCGCTTGTTGCAGAACCAGATGCGTATCACCTCGCGCTCATAGCCGAGGCGACTGGCCAGATGAGTGATTTCGTGTCCTGTCGACAGAGAACAACAATTATTATATGTTTACGACAAACGTTTTGCTCGTGCTCATTGATGGCTGTGATTTGGTCACAACATTAACTAGATTTCTTTGGGAATAAATGAACAGTAAACGTACACATACGCTGTGCGAATTATAGCCAACATTTTCGACGCAGATTAGCGTTTCTGCTGGTCCACGTACCGGTTGGATGCGTGTTTCTCGCGAAGTGAGCGTTGAGTGCTTCCAGCGCCTGCGGTGTGAATGAGGTTCGTCGTTTCCGCTTCTTCAGTGGCGGGATGCCGGTGAGGTTTCCCATCTTCTGAACGCACATCTTCTGTCTGTAGAGACCAGGGCCTCGTCTAAGGAATTTTCCCTGGGGGGGCAGAGACTGAAGGACCCAAACCTAGGGTACCCCCAAATCCTGTTTTCTCACCGGATTTAGGCCACTTGTTTTTCGTCACAGCCCGAGATCAATTTTTTTTAACAAAAAACAAAAAAAAAAACAAAAAAAGAGCCATGCTCGTATAGGGGGGGGGGGGGGTCGAACGGACCCCCCGGTTTTTCACGAATAACTCACGTAAAAGCGGCTGACCGCGACGAAACTTTCAGTACCCTCGCGTTAGTCAATTTTACACCTACTCTGAAAATGTCATGACCCTGACCGTAATGACCTTTGACCTGTGACTTCTTTTCGAGACCATATTTGGCCGGAATCGCGATTCGACGTATGTCGGCTCGCATTAGCCGCGCGTTTGCAGTCTTTTCGTGGTTTCAAGAGTTCAAACATGGAATATGATATTGCTCCCATGCATTAGGGTAGGCGTCAAGGTCACCGCGAGGTCAGGTCAGGTCATTGGCTTTTGATGACTTCGGTTCACTTTTTTCGAGTTTTACATGATTCTAGGCCAGTTTTTGGAGCTGAATTCGAATTTAGCAGCCATTTGAACATTTACGAAGTAGTTTTGGTGCCTTCGTAACATGTTACGAAGCTGTCAGAGCCAGAGGCGGTTGCCACCTACTACGAATACCCGGCAAAACCCTTACTGGTTTACCTGACCTGACCTGACCCGACCTGGCCTAAATGTATGAAGACATCATCTATGATCATAAATAACATAATATTCGTGATCAGCACCCAAAAAAACCGTAGCAGCCACCCTTTACGACATTCTAACTGGTCCCGATTTTCCCGACTTTTGGGTCATTAACCTGACCTGGAAGATCAACCGATGACCTAGGGCCTACAAATGGGTATCATCAGCTTTCTCTTGTCACGGGCAACACGCTCGTCTTTTCCGGGAAGCTCTAGCTCGATCAGGGGCGAAACGGCAAGGGGCAAGGTCCAACGCCCCCCCCCCCATACGTTCGCGGCTGGAAAAACACCAATACGGGCGAGAGTTAAGATTAATGTGTTACCCCCTCACATTGCCCCACCAGACAGTGCGAAACATATTTATCCGTGTTGGGCCGTGGGCGTTTGATTGAGTGGGAGGGGGGGGGGACACAAACACGAGTTGGGTCACTGGCAGCTGCCCATTGACAATTTGCTACTTGAATCACAGTAGCAAAATCACAGAATCACAGTGGGTACTCAGCTCTATAAATCACAAAACTCTGGCTTTTCCCGTAGTCATGGAGTATGAACAGTTTTTGAACAAATAATTTAACGTTTGCCGGTCCCGTAGCTCAGTTGGTTAGAGCGTTGGACTCCGCATGATGAGAGCACGCGTTCCCGGTTATGACAGTCCGGGTTCGAAGCGCGACGGGCGCTCGACATTTATGGGCCTTCTGACAGGTATGGTTGCGGTTGGTGGCAGGCCGTAGCCAGGCGAAGTCAGCGAGGGGACCGGCCGTGCGCGGCTTTGTGCGCACGTAAAACTTTGGACTCTAAATTCTGCCATAGAATCGGCATTGCGCGATCGGAGGGTAGAGGGCAGGGTCATCGCAACAAGCTTCGCTTAGCGGTGGCTCTGTCCTTGTGAATCCTTCCCATCAAAAGGTTCGGACTAAATTTATAAAAAAAAAAACGTTTCTCGTTAAATCCGTATAAGACTCCTAACAAAAACGCATTGCAGAGAAGGTAATTTTGTGAGAAGTTCACGTTTTGACTGGGGGGGGGCAAATGTTGGCCACTGGGGGGGCAATCCGCTCGACTGGGGAGGCAATTGCCCCCCCAGTTAACATGTTAGACGAGGCCCTGGTAGAGACACAGAGATTCGCTTACTTCGAATGTTAAAAAGTCAGCATATATGAGTTACTTTTAAATAAATTTGAAAAAAAAATGAGTTCCTTTAAAAATACAAGGCGCCTTATCAATTAAATACCCAAATAAATGATGAATATTAACCCGCGCCCTGATGCGGGGGGGGCCATTTTGGCCCCCTCCCCCTGTGGTTTTTCTTAAATAGCGAGAAAACGGCGGCCGCCAAATTTTGGGTACCTTACCGGGCATCAATTTGACACCTTCACACAAAATTTCAAGTCACAGGTCACCTCAGGTCAGGAGTTATTGAGGTCAAACTGAGGTCATGTTCGAGCAAAAATGAGCAAAAAACATGACATCTTGAAACGCTCACCCATTCTACAGTTAACAAGCAATTTTAAAGTTCTTTATGTGGTTGTGTAGAGAAAAGACGGCGCTACAAAACTGCCATCTCGGATTTTCGAAAGTTTGGGATTTTGACCCCCAAAAATAAAAAAAGGATTTTTTAGAAAAACTCAAAAAAATTCCAATTTTTTTTTCGAATTTCGAAAAAAACCGGAATATATGTGATAGTCCCTACGCTCTTCGATATACATACCAAATTTTAGATCGATACCTCTTTTTTGGCCAAGTTATAGCAAAAAAAAAAAAAAACTTGAAAATTGATGACGTCAAATTTTTGAACTCAATTTTTAGCAATTCTAGACCTCGTAGCGCAAAACGAAGACCACCATTGAACTCCCCGTGACGAGCTGCATCGAATCGATACCCATTTTATGCAAAAATATCAACTTTGAAATTTGACCTAATTTGACCTGACCTTGACCTGACCTTGACCTGACCTTGACCAAAACGTGACCTAAGCTGGCCCTAAAGTCTGTCTGACCCACATAATCGCATTTGGCATGTAAAATGCACCATAAAACATGTATCACACGACACTTTCATATTGTGACCCCCCCCCCCCCCCAGTGACCTGACCTCTGTGACCTGACCTGGTATCAGTGACCTCAAATAGCAAAATATGTGTTTGAAGAACATTTCTCCACCGATGATTTTCAATGAAATGCATTTTACTCGATTTTACAACGCATTTCTTGAAATGCCTGTAAACGGTGAAAATTCGACCTTTGACCTGACCTGTGACGTCATCGGTTTGACCGAGGTCAATGAAATTGGGTCACAAGGTAGTTCCCCGTTGGGGCTATCCAATACCGTTTACCGCTTGTCGCTATGTTGCGTGGTTCTCGAGATCTGAGGGGGGGGGGGCAAAATGCCCCCCCCCCCCATCAGACCGCGTTGCTCGGCAGACCCCATCTGGGCGCGGGTTAAACGAGGCACTAACGACGATAAACCACACAAAAATTAAAAGGGATATTTTGTTCAAAAGACGAGGCGAAATAAATCAAATTATCGGCTCATGGGCGGGAGAAAGTGTTCATCGAGGCATCGTTCATGTGTCGTACTCGTAACCATACTGTTATGTAATTTTAGGTCGTTTTACCTGTACATTGCTTCTGCTTCCTGTAGCCACTTTTCAAGGATCGGTTTGATCTTCTGAGCGCTTTTTGGCGTTATGTCCAGATTCTCAAATCTGAAACGGAATGCACGATTGCCATTAATACAGAACCTTCCTTGTCAATGTGAATATTAGTAATTTATTTTCCTGCATCACTCTTCGGTTTATACTGCTCAAGTTTGATCAGTTTGAAAATAAACGCAAAAAATGTTTATTTTTTAAACACAGGTCTACAACATGCATACAAACAGCTCCACGAGGCTAACTATTCACGCAAGAATTGCTGATGTGTGCTGGTTTTACAGCGGCTTTCGTTCCCACCTGCAGATGGCCGATTGGCTGTAAGCGGGACCCATGCTGACGCTTAGTGCCTGCCCCACCTGACAGCGAGAAAAGAGTCAGGTCAGGTCACATGGTCAAGCGAAAAGCGGCGTTTGCTTAGACTGTAATGGCTTAGGTCACCAGAAGTCATCGAATTTAATGTTTCCCGACTTTTACCTCTATTTATTTATTTGATACGGTCGGAGCAATTCATTTCTGTAGAACGGCGCCGGCCTTCGGCCTTCAAATTAGCATTATCCTCTGACCTGAGTCTGCGTCAGTCCAAGGCTGAGACGACGCATCTTGAAGACGCGAGCGAACTCCTTCACCTGTTGCAGGTCAACCCCGTCCACATCGGCGCCCGTCGCTTGCCGAACGGTGGGTTCGTCTGCCGGGCAGGACGGGAAACGAACGGTCACAGTGGAGAGCGTGGCAGCTCGGAACCGTAACGCGAAACAGCGGATTACCCTTAAACTGCAGGGATGTGTCATTTAAAAGGGCTCTTCCTATCGTAAGAAAATTACCGTGTTCTCTCTTTCTTGCAAAATCAAAAATAACCTCAATAGCAGCGATCTAAATTTTAATTGCACAGAGTTACCCTGAATTCTGACACAGCCAAGCCATTACCGTCGTCTTCACACAGACAAACTTACTGTCGTCTTCAGTGAGAGACTCTGGCGAGTGCACGCCTGCCGGGCTGGTGGGGACGGTATAAGGGGCAGCCCGATCAGTGAGCGCTGGGTCACCCCCGATGTGAACGGACCGTGAGTCCACTGTGACTGGGCTGCTCCTGGGGCGACCCGACTGGATGGCCGCCGAGGATACGGGAGGGGCCTCCACCGCCTCCTGACCACACTGAAAGGAGAGCTCAGTCAGATGCTGCAGGCCGGTCAGATATGACATCTGTCTTGGAATAATGTTAATACGTAATATATGCGCGTATTTTTTTTTTTAGAAATTTTGTCCGAATGTTTGAATGGGTGGCTTTGGGCCCGGGTGCCCCGCTAAGCAGTGCTTGTTGCGGATGACACCACGGACCCACCACCCGACCTCGCCCGCGCCCGATTCGCCGGTGATAATTTGAATCGAAAGTTTAACGTGCCGCAGGTAGATGGCTTGGCGGCACGGTCCTCCCGGGTCTAGCATATGCGCCACAATATGCAGTGTTACGACAGTGAAGCGCTATTTGCAAGATATTTTCACATTCATCCAAAATGTCAATTCTTAAACGAAAAAATGATGGCAAGATACGTTCGATGTCGAACACTTACTGAATTAGCACCGTATACACTTTGATGAATGGACGAAACGACAAAGCCCTATTGCGCTTATTTTCTCCTCTGTATGGGGCGTTCCACGACAAATCAACAAGTGCCCTGCACCCTCATATTTTATTTTTTGCTTAAAATTTGTCTAATGGGTTGTGATGGGCGGGGAAGCCAGCTGTGACAAGGATTTTTTTCTTCGAACAACGGTTTCCGAGATAAAGCCTCGGGCAATTCCTGGAGGTCGCGCTGCAGCCCTATGTTTGGCGGCCTATAACTAAAAAACTATTGGTTTTCTACGATAAAAACTTTATATGGTTCAACTCACAATCAGCCAACAAACATTTTGGCTATCTCGGATTTTCAATTTTTGAAAATTTTGATCACGTGACCTTTTGACCTATTTTTCGAAGAGTGACCTTGATATTTTCCCCACTGAAAGTTGCAATTTTGTCTGATGACGATTAAAGCCTTATCAATTGTCATTCATATGCGAAAATAAAAAAGTGGATATCGCCCTGCGTTGACCTCAGGTCAGGTCATTTTTATGACCTGTCCATTATTACGAGCGGGAGCGACAGCGAGATCTCGAGAATAAAGCAAGATAGCGACAAGCGGTAAACGGTGCAGGTTACACACGAATAAGGTCTATAATTTTTACCGAGGTCATTTTCAGGTCAGGTCAAAGATGACGTCACAGGAGCAAAAAGGAAGTCAAAATTGCGGCACTACATATATATGAAGTTTTTCTTGAATAACTTTCAAGGTATCCCAGCTAGGAACAAACTTATATCACCATCGTGATCCTCTCGTCGATCCGCATCGAAACATATGTATGTTGACCTCGAAAGTTGGAAAGGTCAAAAGTTGACCTTAGGTCACGTGACCGAAGGTCAACTTTTGACCTTTCGACCTTTCGAGGTCAACATATATATCTTTCGATGCGGATCGACGAGAGGATCACGAAGGTGCTATTAGCTTGTTCCTAGCTGGGATACCTTGAAAGTTATTCGAGAAAAACTTCATATATATGTGGTCCCGCAATTTTGACTTTCTTTTTGCTCCTGTGACGTCATCTTTGACCTGACCTGAAAATGACCTCAGTAAAAATTATAGATCTTATCCGTGTGTACCCTGCACCGTTTACCGCTTGTCGCTATCTTGCTTTATTTTCGAGATCTCGCTGTCGCTCCCGCTCGTCACGTGACCTAAGGTCAACTTTTGACCTTTCGACCTTTCGAGGTCAACATACACATGTTTCGATGCGGATCGACGAGAGGATCACGATGGTGCTATTGGTTTGTTCCTAGCTGGGATACCTTGAAAGTTATTCGAGAAAAACTTCATATATATGTAGTGCCGCAATTTTGACTTCCTTTTTGCTCCTGTGACGTCATCTTTGAGCTGACCTGAAAATGACCTTAGTAAAAATTATAGACCTTATCCGTTTGTACCCTGCAACGTTTACCGCTTGTCGCTATCTTGCTTTATTCTCGAGATCTCGCTGTCGCTCCCGCTCGTAATAATGGACAGGTCATAAAAATGACCTGACCTGAGGTCAACGCAGGGCGATATCCACTATTTTTATTTTCGCATATGAATGAAAATTGATAAGGCTTTAATCGTCATCAGACAAAATTGCAACTTTCAGTGGGAAAAATACCAAGGTCACTCTTCGAAAAATAGGTCAAAAGGTCACGTGATCAAAATTTTCAAAAATTGAAAATCCGAGATGGCCAAAATGTTTGTTGGCTGATTGTGAGTTGAATCATATAAAGTTTTTATCGTAGAAAACCAATAGTTTCTGAGTTATAGGCCGCCAAACATAGGGCTGCAGCGCGACCTCCAGGAATTGCCCGAGGCTATATCTCGGAAACCGTTGTTCGGAGAAAAAAAATCCTTGCCACAGCTGGCTTCCCCGCCCATCACAACCCCTTACACCAGTTTTCAACGAAAAATAAAATATGAGGGTGCAAATTTAATTTTTTATTTGTCGATTTGTCGGTATATGTAATGCATGCATGCGGCCGCCTAAATGCACCGCACAAACGTGACTGTGCATGAAACGTGCTAACCCTGGTGATGTGAGCTGAGAGCTGGGATCCGGGCCGGGACGGCGGCGCCTGCTCCATGCCTGCAGAGGCCGCCAGGGCCTGCAGGTTGGCCGGGGTGGCAGCCAGCACGTGTCCTGCGCTCAGACACAGCTGGGCCAGCCCGCCAGCCACCAGGGCGGCTGGGATCGCAATGATGGGCTGCACTGTTACACCTGGGAGACGCAATCGAACCACACGTGAGTGAGACCGCGTTACACGTGATGGACAGACAATTCAGAGTCCGAATTTGCGGCTGATAGACGCCATGCGTAATAATTACGGCATATTTTTATTGTATGTGATGGCTAGAAAGCTCCCCCAGCCCCACCATCACCAAACCAATATTATATCCATCCTATCCATTTCAGACACGCAGAGAACGAGAGGACAGACATTTTGAATCGGAAACGATGAATTTTTATCATAGGATGTTCGTTATTACTATTTAAGTTGTACCGTCATATCATTAGGTATCTACCTTGAGCAGTGGGTATGATGAGCTGAGCGCCCTGGATGCCTGGCGCCATCTGGCCACTGGTGAGCACCAGTTGTAGTACGGACGGGTCCCCGCGCAGTGGCGCCCCCTCCAGCGAGGGCGGACGGCGGATCGACGGGGCAGGTCCCTCCACCGACGGTATCCGCCCCTTCCCTCCCTCGAACGAGGGCAGGCGGTCGGTCGGCACGGACATGGGCCCTTCCGACGAAGGAAGACGGCCGGTCGGCAGGGTAGCGTGTCCTTCTGACGAAGGCCTGTGGCCGTTTTGCTCCGTCCGTCTTTCTAAGGGTTCTGTCAGAGACAGGAGGCGCATTAACTCATTAGATAATGTATAGGTAAAATACCTGAAACTCTGGACCGTTCTTCCACGCCGTTTGAAATAGTTTCATCCTATGTGTGGTGGGACGAGTGTATTGCGTTTGCATACTCCTCGATGAACTCACTAGTCTGGGCTACTATTGTTTCCTGCTCCGTTCGCTCGTGCATCTGTCCCGTCTGCCGGGCACCGTCGACCGTCAACATTACCGAACGCTCCTGTCGACGCAGACGTTGACATAACGGTCACCCGGCGGCACAGACTGTCCCACAAGATTACCTGATGACAATGCTGGATAATGTTTTTTTTCCCATGCTGATGTCCGTTTGATATGATTCATTTTAGCAGAATAAGAGAACAGGTGAGAGCCCTCTCCGGTTCAATAGTCGATGCTTACCTATTTATACAGAGCACAGCACAAATTAACCCGCGCCGTGAGGGGGAGGGGGGTGGCGTTTTACACCCCCCCCCCCCTCAGGTATTTCGCAAATATCTCAAAGACGGCGGCGCGTAGCACCGCCGTTTTTGGTACACTTGTTTCTACATCTTTTCCGCATATGTTGTGAAAATTTCAGGCCCCGGTCATTCAAGGTCTGGTCACCAGGTCACGTTAACCCGCGCCCCGCTGGGCTAATCAGCCACACGCCCTGCTGGGGGGAGGGGGGCAGATTCTGCCCCCCCCCCTGTCTAACTTCCGAACCGATGGTCGTAGAAAGACGGGGAAAACGGCAATCGAAAGCTCTCAACGAGGCAGATCTTAAGAGCCCAATTTTTTTGCTTAAATAGGTCAGAGGTCAGGTCAAGGTAAGGTCAAGGGTGCAAAATGCAAGTTTCTACAGTATCGGCCTTGCACCGTAGTTGCCGAAGAATGGACGGAGACTGATTGCCCAAAACGTGTTCTTAGGCTGCCAAGACAATATTCGTTGCATAAAATATCATTCAAAGGTCAAGGTCAAGGTCAGGTCAGGTCAGGTCACCAAAAACAAAATATAGAAAAAGGCATGTGCGACACATGTTTTATGGGTCATTTTATTCATTGAATTCAATAGGCACGCTCAATAGGTAAGTGATATGGACCACATCTGGATGAATTTCAGGTCGAGGTCAGGTCAAGGTAAGGTCAAGTGAGGTCAAATTTTGAAGTAGGCTGTTAACCCGGCAGGCGGTGGGCCTACCAGCCACCTTCCACGCGGGGGGGGGGCATTTTTTGCCCCCCCCCCGTATCTCCGAAACTACTGGACGGATCCGGAAAATTCAAACGGCGTTCGATAGCCCTGTCAAAATTGTCGAGGGACACCAAATTTCATTGACCTCGGGGTCACCGATGACGTCACAGGTCAGGTCAAAGATAAAATGTTTCACCGTTCACAGGGCTTCTAGGGAAAGCGCTATAGCACCGAGTAAAACGCATTTTGTCGAAAATCAGCGATAAGGCGTCAGTTGTCTAGTACATATGTTGCTATTAGAGGTCACTGGTCATACCAGGTCAGGTCACAGGTCAGGTCACCAAAGGTCACCAAGGGTCACCACATGAGCCCAACTTTACTGAGGTTATGTGATGCATGTTTTATGGCCAGTTTTTCATTTCCAACTCAATGGTGTTGGTTATAAGAACATCAGGTACGGTTTAGGTCACTTTCTGGTGGAGGTCAGGTCAAGGTCAGGTCAAAAAAGGTCAAATTTCAAAGTTGATATTTTTGCATAAAATGGGTATCGATTCGATGCAGCTCGTCACGGGGAGTCTAATGGTGGTATTTGTTTTGCGCTACGAGGTCTAGAATTGCTAAAAATTGAGTTTGAAAATTTGACGTCATCAATTTTGAACAGTTTTTTCGCTATAACTTGGCCAAAAAACGAGGTATCGATCTCAAATTTGGTATGTAGATAGAAGGCGGTAGGGACTATCACATATATTCCGGTTTTTTCGAAATTCAAAAAAACTTTTTGGATTTTTTGGCTATTATATTCAAAAAATCTATTTTTTGATTTTTGGGGGTCAAAATCCCAAAAATTCGAAAAACCGAAATAGCAGTTTTGTAGCCCTTTTGATTTCACACCTTTTATGTCTAAAACATTTTTCTGTATCTGTAAAGCTGTAGGCCTGACAGCTCTTCCCGCGAAACCTTTTTTTTGGGTCGAAAATGGCAAAAATGACGTCACTCTTACGTCATTAGCGGCCAACCTATCATAGCCTTTGGAAAAATTTTTGGTCACCATGTGCGCTAGCTGCTCCCGGGAGGGTACTGAAAGTTTGGTGACGATCGGCGCAGCGGTTCTCGAGATATATCGAAAAAGTAAAGGGGGGGGGGGCAAAAAAATGCCCCCCCACCGCCTGGAAGGTTAAGGCCTAAAGAAGTATATATCTGATGCAGTTTTTCACAGCAAATCGAATGGTGCTATTTTTTTCCGTACGAGGTCTAGACCTTCCAAAAATTCATTTTTCAAAAAAAAATTGTGTGTCGTGACGTCATAAGAATTTGAGTAACTCCCACATTTTTGAACCGATTTTTCTAAAAATTGGTACGTAGATGCACATAGACCACTTCTCTGACATATATTCCGGGGGTTACGATACACTTAAAATTTTGAATTTTATAATTATTTTCCCAAAAAGTTCGTTTTTTTTGAAAAAAATTTGGGTCAAAATCCAAACTTTTCAAAAAACCGAGATCGACATTTGAAAGACAAAGTAAAATCACGTAAAACCTTTTTTGTTACGTCTAGATTTCTTTAGAAATGAAGATGTTAGCGGCGTTTGAAATTTTGCCGTTTTTAAGGCGATAATGTCGAACATGACGTCACTAAAACGTCATTTTCTCAAACTTTTTCCGACGGATTTCGCTCAAATTTTCAGGGAACGTGTCAAATTGATGTATGATAAGGTACTGAAAGTTTGACGTCGTTGGCTTAACGCGTTTAGAAGTTATTGGCGAAAAACGGGAGGGAGACAGATTCTGTCCCCCCCCCCCCCCAGCGGGGCGCGGGTTGAAAAAGTTCGAAGGTTCGCTGTAGCTACACCAACTTAACGATCACTTTGAAACGTTAATCGATTGGTAAGAGAACAGTTTGTATAAACTGTATATCTCGGTTTCTTATCTGTGACCCAAGGTCAGGTCAATTTTGCGATCACTCCATTATAAGTCATTGGGAGAAAATTGAAATGCGCCTCTTTTGGACAAATGCCGTTCTAAGCCTTCTCAAACATCGGTTCATAGGTAAACATGACTCAGTGAATCGGTAAATTGCACCTGTGACCCCTGTGTGTGCCCCTGAGGTCATCTCAGGTCATGAAAGGTCTTCAGCAGTTTTTTTTTACTATACGTTTTGACAGAGAGGTGCTAGAGGGGTGAAAACACGTCAGATGTGCTCAGCTCGACAACACGGGTCGACTGATATGCAACATGACCCTTTCCGGCTAGGCAATGACCTTGACCTGAGGTCAAATTTAAATGACCTTTCAAGATCAAATTACAGTTCATTTGACGCGTCTTGACGAGGTGAACACGATGCTGGCAAAAGAAATGTCGTTACTCTGCTGAGTCAAGTTATTACTCAACAACATTTTTCGTGAGAAAGGGCTATTTTTAGGGTTTCTGCCCTCTGGAGGCTACTCGTTGATCTGAGGTCAAATCTGAGGACACGTTGGCGAAGGAGCGTTCGATAGCTCTATCGAATGCGGTTTTCGGCGGCGCTGTAGCTCTATTGGTTCCCGATTTAGCCGTCAGGTGTTTCAAAATTGTTGAAATCGACAAAATTTGACCTTTGATGACCTCTGGTGACCTGACCTTGACCTTAAAAATGACCGAAGTGTTTTCTTCCTAATTTCTGACGCTCTTTCGATTGCCGCGTGTCGCTATGTGGCCCAAGAGCCGAGTTAGACGGGTGGTGGTGGCGTGAAAATGCCCCCCTCCCAGCACTCGGCGGAAAGTTCAGACCACCAGCACGGTGCGGGTTAACCCGCGCCGGGCCGATGCTCTGAGATTCCGCGCCGGGTCGGGGGGGGGGGGGGTCTGAACACCCCCCCCCCCTTCTAAAGGCTGCCCCACACTGGACCTCGCATGCGGGTTGCGAGTTTTTGGGTTTTCGGTTTTCTTTAAAATCATTAATCAAATAATATAATCTAGGCTGAATGACCCACACTACCATCTAGCAAGCGAGTCTGCATGTTTTTAGCTTGCGAGCGACCTTGCATCGCATTCCAAAATTTGATTTTGAGTAAACTTTGGATTTTCCTCGCTGCGAGGTCTGCGAGTTCTGCGAGGTTTGCGGTTTTTCGTTGGAGTCAAATTTTGGTTCCTTGCGCTGGTATTGCGACTGCATGTAAGTTTCTGAAGGTGTACCGGTTTCACTGCTTACATGAAGTTATCATAAGGGAGCGGTCTAATCACTCTATGAATTAGTATTATGCCCGCGAACTCAAAACCCGCAAACGCGCAACCCGCATGCGAGTTCCAGTGTGGGGTGGCCTTAACTCGGCTGCTGGGCCACGTAGCGACACGCAGTAAGCGGCAATCGAAAGAACATCCAAATTAAGGACGAAAACATTTGGTCATTTTTTTGGGTCAGGTCAAAGGTCAGGTCACCAGAGGTCACCAAAGGTAAAATGTTGACTATTTCAACATTTTGGAAACTGACGTCGGCTATCTGGGGAACCGATAGAGCTACAGCGCCGCGGAAAAGCGCATTCGATAGCCCTTTTACAGACGTTTCTGAGTACTTCAACGGTTTAGCCTGCAGAGGGCAAAAACTCCAAAAATAGCCGTTTTTACGAAAAACTTTTTTTTCGGCAACAAAGCCATGACATCACTTTTGCCAGCATCATGTTCCTCTCGTTGAGACGCGTCGAATGAACTATAATTTGACCTTGAAAGGTCAACTTTAAAATTTGACCTCAGGTCAAGGTCATGACCTGACCGGAAAAGGTCATGTTGCATATCAGTCGATCTGCAACGTCGAGCCGAACACATCTAAGGCGTTTTCAGCGCATTAGCACGCCTCTATCAGAAGTTATTAGCGAAAAACTGTTAGATTCTGTTCGTGACCTGAGATGACCTCGGGGACATAACGAGGGGTCACAGTTGCCTTTTTTCGGTTCAGTGTGTCAATCTTACCTACATCTCGATGTTTGAGAGTGTCTAGAATAGCGTTCATGCAAAACAGACGCTTTTCAATTTTCTCCCATGGGGAGAGGCCGCAAAATTGACCTGACCTTAGGTCAGCGATATCAATATTACCATTTTTTTATTATTCCTGATATCAAATTTTTATTTAATTATTTAATTTAATTTTAAATTTAATTTTAATTTAAATTTTAATTTAAGAAATTGATTAAAATTTTAATTAATTAATTTAAATTTTAATTTTAAAAAATTAATTTAGATTTTACTAAATTAATTTAAATTTTGATTTAAAAATTAAATTTTAATTTTAATTATTTTTATTTAATTATTATTTAATTATTTTTATTTAATTATTTATTTTTTTATTTTATTCCCGATATCAAATAAAAAATTCAATTTATAGTCACCGTGAAAATTCCGAGATAAACATTTTCTAGATAATGTTGCTCTAATCAATCGCTGAAAGTTTCAAAGCAATCGATCAATCGGTGTAGCTATGACGAGCATTTTTCTTTTTTTTCTGAGGTGAAGTCACTTGGCGTGACCTGGTGACCTGACCTAAGGCGACCTGGGTCTGAAATTTTCACAACATGTGCGAAAAAGATGCACAAACAGGTGTGCCAAAAACGGCGGCGCGGAGCGCCGCCGTTTTTGAGATATCTGCGAAAAACCGCAGGGGGTGTTCAAACATCCCCCGGCTCGGCGCAGGTTAAGATTTAGAACATCTTAATGGCTGCTGAGGACGCTTCGTCGTAAGCCCGAGTCATTCTAAGTGTGGAAACGGTGGTTTTTATAATTTGAAACTACATGATATGGATTGCGTGAGCCGTGATTCGTGATTTAGGACGCACCTGTGACCTGACGAATGAGTGCTACCGTCAAACTGATGGGCTGATCCCGCCGTAATGGAAGACACCAATGGAAGCTGATCACTAACCTATATCAACATAAGAGCACATCCACTCGGCCCGCCAACTTCTGCGCCACTGCCGCCGCCTCAACACTGCCGTGCGAACGTCCCTGTTCTGCCGCCCTGCCACGACCGTCCGGCCGGCCGACCGCCGCCGGACTAACCTTCGGAGCATCCGGATGGGATAGACCAAATTAAGGACGAAAACATTTGGTCATTTTTTTGGGTCAGGTCAAAGGTCAGGTCACCAGAGGTCACCAAAGGTAAAATGTTGACTATTTCAACATTTTGGAAACTGACGTCGGCTATCTGGGGAACCGATAGAGCTACAGCGCCGCGGAAAAGCGCATTCGATAGCCCTTTTACAGACGTTTCTGAGTACTTCAACGGTTTAGCCTGCAGAGGGCAAAAACTCCAAAAATAGCCGTTTTTACGAAAAACTTTTTTTTCGGCAACAAAGCCATGACATCACTTTTGCCAGCATCATGTCCCTCTCGTTGAGACGCGTCGAATGAACTATAATTTGACCTTGAAAGGTCAACTTTAAAATTTGACCTCAGGTCAAGGTCATGACCTGACCGGAAAAGGTCATGTTGCATATCAGTCGATCTGCAACGTCGAGCCGAACACATCTAAGGCGTTTTCAGCGCATTAGCACGCCTCTATCAGAAGTTATTAGCGAAAAACTGTTAGATTCTGTTCGTGACCTGAGATGACCTCGGGGACATAACGAGGGGTCACAGTTGCCTTTTTTCGGTTCAGTGTGTCAATCTTACCTACATCTCGATGTTTGAGAGTGTCTAGAATAGCGTTCATGCAAAACAGACGCTTTTCAATTTTCTCCCATGGGGAGAGGCCGCAAAATTGACCTGACCTTAGGTCAGCGATATCAATATTACCATTTTTTTATTATTCCTGATATCAAATTTTTATTTAATTATTTAATTTAATTTTAAATTTAATTTTAATTTAAATTTTAATTTAAGAAATTGATTAAAATTTTAATTAATTAATTTAAATTTTAATTTTAAAAAATTAATTTAGATTTTACTAAATTAATTTAAATTTTGATTTAAAAATTAAATTTTAATTTTAATTATTTTTATTTAATTATTATTTAATTATTTTTATTTAATTATTTATTTTTTTATTTTATTCCCGATATCAAATAAAAAATTCAATTTATAGTCACCGTGAAAATTCCGAGATAAACATTTTCTAGATAATGTTGCTCTAATCAATCGCTGAAAGTTTCAAAGCAATCGATCAATCGGTGTAGCTATGACGAGCATTTTTCTTTTTTTTCTGAGGTGAAGTCACTTGGCGTGACCTGGTGACCTGACCTAAGGCGACCTGGGTCTGAAATTTTCACAACATGTGCGAAAAAGATGCACAAACAGGTGTGCCAAAAACGGCGGCGCGGAGCGCCGCCGTTTTTGAGATATCTGCGAAAAACCGCAGGGGGTGTTCAAACATCCCCCGGCTCGGCGCAGGTTAAGATTTAGAACATCTTAATGGCTGCTGAGGACGCTTCGTCGTAAGCCCGAGTCATTCTAAGTGTGGAAACGGTGGTTTTTATAATTTGAAACTACATGATATGGATTGCGTGAGCCGTGATTCGTGATTTAGGACGCACCTGTGACCTGACGAATGAGTGCTACCGTCAAACTGATGGGCTGATCCCGCCGTAATGGAAGACACCAATGGAAGCTGATCACTAACCTATATCAACATAAGAGCACATCCACTCGGCCCGCCAACTTCTGCGCCACTGCCGCCGCCTCAACACTGCCGTGCGAACGTCCCTGTTCTGCCGCCCTGCCACGACCGTCCGGCCGGCCGACCGCCGCCGGACTAACCTTCGGAGCGCCCGGATGGGATAGAATTGGTCTCCCAACCGGCACTGACGCTGCAACTCGAGGGGCGGTCGGAACAGCCTGTTCCATGACTGGTAGTTTTACTTTTGTCGAGCGAGGCGAGGATAATTCATTTTCTATTTTGATTGAAAATATCCTGCTGATGTGTGCGTTTCAAATATACCTACATATTCGATAAGATGCACGCAGAATCACATGGAGAGAAGAATAAACTCATCAAAGTAGCACTTTTGGTAGGCTAAAACAATTATTCTGGCGAGTTTACATTTTTCTGCCTCATTCCGCGAATGCCGTTTCATGAATACCGGAAGGAATTACAATTGATGCTTTGAATGTGAAGGGTATGTGCCGAGGTGGTTTATCGATTGTTGTGAATGCGCGAGAAGTTAACACGTGATTTAAGATGCACGTAAATAAGAGCTTCTGATTACTTTCGCACTAGGTATGCAGCATATGTTCCATGGGCTAGCAAACATTATTTCACATCGGGACAATCATGTATGGTCGATAAATTCGACGGGACCGGTAAGCAGTAGACAGCCGCGGTAGTCGTATCGTTTTGCCGGTCGCCGGCCAGGTCGTACAGCTCCTGAGGCCGTCCCGCCCCCGTCCACTGGCCGGAGCCAAGCAGCCACCGAGCACACCCAGCTCATTATGCGGCCAGAATTCCGCTCATGCACGGTGGCCCGTCTCTGACAAAGCCGCCCTGCCCCGGCTGCCTCCACCGCCGGGGAGGGCTGCAGCCGGCGTCCGGGCCGCCGAATCACCGCCGTCATTAGTCAATGCATTATGATAATTTTCCATTCCCCTCCCATCGTGCGCCCCTCCATCTTATCAATTGCATGCCATCTCATTACTGGCGCGGACCGCCAATAATCGCGGGCGGGTGGATGCGAAACGCACCTCTATGCGCTCCGCCGACTCACTGTGTTCGGGAGAAACTCGCCTGCTTTAGGGCGTTATGCTTAACAATGCGATCTCATTACGTATGCAAATGAAGTATGAATCAACAATGCAGAATTAAGCGCTGAGTCACAAAGAATTTAATTAAGGGGGACGGGTGGGCAGAGTGTACGGGGAGAGGAGCGGTCCGAGCGGCCGACACGGGCCCTCTCCCCAGATTATGGACGGCTCACGCGCCTACTATCCCCCGCGCTGGGCCGCCAGCCTAGCGCTGCATCCCCGCAGATATTGAACGGCTCGTCCCCTGCTGCCGGCAGCCTCCCTCCCTGTTCGGCCCCTCTCGGCGGAGCGGCTGGACGGACCGGTTCTTTGTGCTGTCGATCGGCCAATGCAGCGGTCAGTTCGACGTGCTCCCCGTGTCTTTCCGACCATCTATAGTAAGCTCGATGTCATCCATCCGTTTAGAAGTGTTAGACAAAACTGGATACCGGGCGAAATTCGTCTCCCAGTCAATGCCGAAGACCTGGCCGGTTGCGCCGGGCGATACCGGGATTTACATGTAACGGTTATATACAACCAGTATAGCGCCTTTTGGGGCGACTAACGGAGCGAGCGAGGGGGTGAGTCTTGCACGTGCGAAATTTCGAGGGGGTACCTCCAACTGACTTGTGCACGGCACCCTACTGACCGGTTTCTAGCGATGTGCCAAATTTGAGCACAATCGGCCCAGCCGTTCTCGAGATCTGGGAGCGGCACCCTGCACGTGCGCACGTGCAAAATGGGTCCCAACTGACTTGTGCACGGCACCCTACTAACTGGTCCCTAACCGTGTACCAAATTTGAGCGCCATCGGTCCAGCCGTTCTCGAGATATGGAAACGACCCCTGCACGTGCGCACGTGCAGCAGCACCCCAACTCTGGCACATGGATATGCAGTGCCTAGTGGGTGCCTACCTACATGCCAACTTTCAGCGCAATCGGCCAAGTAGTTACCGAGATATTGCAACAATTACAAAACGGACACCTCTTCGTTTTGCACGTGGCACGTGCATAAGGGGTCACCCACATGCATCAGGAATAGTCCAATACTTGGTAGAAGGAATGAAGCTACCCTACAAAAATTACCGCGTGTAAATCGGTCAAGTGGTTGCTGAGATATAAGCCTCGCAAAAGCGTGACCACGGCCGGCCGGCCGGCCGGCCGGCCGGCCGGCCGCTCATACTCAGAAATTTCCGTTAATCTAAGGAAAGACTACGCTCGCTTCGCTCGCTCCGTAACCAAAGTCTGATGTTATTATCTACTCAACTAGCCAAGTTTTCATCCGAAGGAGCACCGAGGCATATTTTTACTCCATAATTTCCATCTACCCTGCCAGTCCACTTGATAGCTACTTCTGCCACTCTGTCATCATCCAAGCACACGATTTTGTCCGTGCTGGCGGCCACCGTATACCATACCTTTACCTACCAGCAATCGGTGGAGAACAAGCCCGAAAGAGGTAGGTAGGTACGCTCCTCCAGAAAAAGACTATTTTAGCCCACGCCGGGCCGGGGTATTTGAACACCCGCCTGCGGTTTTTCGCAAATATCTTCAAAACGGCGGCGCGGAGCACCGCCGTTTTTGCACACCTGCTCATGCATCTTTTGCGCACATGTGAAAATTTCAGACCCAGGGCTCTCAAGGTCAGGTCACCAGGTCGCCTCAAGTGACCTCACCTAAGAAAAGTTTCAATCCTCGTCATAGCTACAACGACTGAATGATCGCCTTGAACCTTTCAGCGATTAATAAGGGTTACAGTATGTACAAAATGTTTATTGCGGAATTTCGATATCAGTGACATAAGGTCAGGTCAATTTTGCGACCTCTCCATTAGGTTATACTGATACATATATAAGTCAATGGGAGAAAATTGAAATGCGCCTCTTTTGGATGGTGGTGTTCAAAACCCTCTCAAACATCGGTTCATGGGTAAGCACCACACCCTGAATCGGAAAAATGTGTCTGTGAGTGTGAACCCTCTGTGTGCCCCTGAGGTCATGTCAGGTCATGAACGGTCGCCAACATTTTTTTGGCAGTAACTTTTGATAGAGACGTGCTAGAGCGATGAAAACACGTCAGATGTATTCAGCTCGACGATACGGATCGACTGATATGCAACATGGCCCTTTCCGGTCAGGTCATGACCTTGACCTGAGGTCAAAATTTTAAAATGACCTTTCAATGTCAACGAATAGCTCATTC